AAAATTTTGTTACCGAATAAAATTCTGGAACAATGCAATTGTAAGAGATCTAATATAGGATCTTATTGTGTTAATATCGCAGCCATTTTCCAAAATATTAAAGGTAACTTCTTATAATTTAGTTTGAATGGTATTGGTTATTATCTAGTGTATACACGTATAAAGGAATAAGCATCGAAAAATGTCACGCACAGCCAATCAAAATCAGTGTTTCATGTTCTATATTCTGTCAATCATACCAGCCTAACAGCGTATTCCAGCAAACCGGAAGTGTCACCATTATTTAATTCCGCGATTTAATGGAAGATTTTTTTAAGTATTTACAATAGATTTTTTAACCCAAAATGTGTTCTAACTTCCATGTATTTTGAGAGTAGTTACCAGGTTAGCGCCTGGCCAACCATGTGTTTTTCGAGTTTTCTTCACGTTAGTAACACCTAACTAGGGTCTAGTTTCCCTTAGAAAGTTGGTAGCATTGATAGATACTTTCAATAAAGATAATGAAAAACACTTAAAAATTATACGCGTTATAACGTTTATATCCGTTGAAACTTCAATATATATATAAAAAATATTATTACAGTTTTATAGTATTATTATTATTATTGTCTATTAATCCAATAGAGGAGCAAATTTAAACACCAGTACCATAAAAATGTCTTCTTTATTTCACTCATAAAAAATTTATTGCATTATAAAATTCTTGACCTTTCAATTGAAGAAGAAATTATAAAGAATTTCACTTTCCTCACGAAATCTTTAACACCACTTTTTCGTCAGTCGCATTCATTTTAAATCATCGAACATTTTTATAGTTATTTTCAGACAGATTAATGGGTTTTTATTCCAATTATTTATTAATGGAAATTAGAATTTATAAGGTCGTGATAATTTAATATGGGAAGTCAGTAGTTTTCTCATTGTATAATAATTTTCAGGAAGTAACAGTATTTGTCTGTATATTGTAAAGCGACACTTGGGCGATCTGCCGAGGCGAGAGAGGATTTTCTTTTAAAGTCCTATCCCTATTTAAGTGTTTCAAACGCGAAGAAAACCCGAAAAACTACGTTGTCGAGGAGCGAACTCGCCAGTGTTCAATGGTTTCATTCACTCGGCCACTGATGGGTACAGGAAATAATAGTAACAATTTAGAGATGAAAATATTGAAAAATACAAGAATTTTCGTTTTCACATACAATTTCACAATAATATTTTATCTCCATAAGTGCCTTATATTTTCTAATTTTTTTTTAAAAGAAAAGAACACTCCAAAATCGACGTCACCGAAATCCATTGTTTAAAGGACAATTAGTTTATGAATTTAAAATAATCTGATAGAAATAGCTGTGGTATTCTAAATTAGAATATTCAGAGAAATATATTTATGGACAAATATATTTAAATTAGAATCAGAAAATAATATTTAGGCCCACAAAAAATCGTTAATCTGTAAAATTTTAAAGTGCTGCTGTAATAATTATGTGTGTGTATATATAATGGGATTAAACGGATGGAAACGGAAAAGTAATCAGATTTTCTAATAAAAGAAAATCTTTTTTTTTTACGAGAATTGAGTTCAATATTTTTTTATTTTATTTTATTTTTCGAATCCCAAAAGAAAAATGTCCAATATCAATATTGCAATGTAAGCGATTTCTTAAAAAAAATTCGATTTTTGTTTATGTAAATTAAAAAAAATATATATATAAGAATTTCTAAAAATATTTTAATTGAAATTATAACAATTTTATTATTATTATTTTTTTATTAGTGCATTTGAATTATTAAATATATTACATTTAATAATCTGGACTTTCTCAGAATCAATGTTCTGATGAGTGTATTTTAATTATTGTAAATTATTGATTGCTTATTGCTTAAAATTAATTTTTTTTCAAGTGTTTATGGAAGAAAATACTTCATAAAAAATGATTTAATGGCAGTGGAGGAGGAGGAGGAGAAGTAACTTAAAAAAAAGGGTACAATGGCTTTGGAGTGCTAGATACTCGTCGTTTTTGATATGTATCTAGTAATTGAAGGTGTTTAATTATTTGTAAGATATTCTGCTTCATTTAAGCACTAATAAATACTAATTCAATAGAGTAATCAGTAGCCTACTTTAGAAACGAACTTAGCATAAAGGCGAAATACGAGTAAAGAAAAATAACTACATTAGGATGATTTTCGATTCTTAAAGTATGAAAAAAACCATTTAAATAAATAAACGAGATCTTAATACATCCATTTTTAAAACTAATTAATAAGTAAATAAAAATTATACAATATCGATAATCTCCCGACATTCTGCCTAAGGTTCTTTAATAAAGCATAATAATTCTTTGTGTTACTATTAAAATTACATTGCAAATGCTTTAATATTATCATTATTAAAATATCCTTTTACTTTCAAACCAGGCTGATAATAATTGAAGAGTGGTGGAAAAAAAATTAAAGTAAACCGTAATTGACGGCATGATAATGTTTTAGGTCTTGGCAACATCAGAGATATTTTAATGACATTATGTACAACATTGACTTTCTTCGGATTACTCTTCACTTACATGACTGGATCATTAGCGAAATCCTTCAAGTATTGTCGATCTTTTCTTTCAGCTATACAACGGAAGCATACACCGAAGAAATTCCCTCTTTTTGGCTCTGTAATAGTGGGGTTTAGGAGTAATAAATCTTCTAAGTTGTCACACGTCATCTCTCAGGTAACCGGTTAAGCAGTGACCGGATTTTGTTACTGTTAGTATCTTTACCTCATACCAAATTTACGATGAATACCTTCAGTAATGAGAATGTTTTTATGATCCTCGAAATGCTACTTTTAACTTACTAAAAGTAAAGTTTGAAAGTTGCCACAATAATATTAAATCTTTATTTAAAGGGGTTGCTCTTGTAAATGGCCTTTCGATAAATTATTAATATATTACTTTAATAGTGATGTATTTATTGCTTCTTTTTATTAAAATTTCACGTATTTTTCTTATTTTTATTTTGTGAAATTTGTAACGTGTAAAACGTACANTAATACATCCATTTTTAAAATTAATTTTATAATTGTTATAATTAAAAGTAATTTTTTTTTTTTTGACGATTTAAATTTGCCGGCATGTTTGTATCTTATCGAGGATTTACTTAACCTTATGCAGTAGGCAGCCGTTTTAAGACGAGTAGGTTAACATGCCACTATATAGCTCGTATCTAGTTTCACCAATTTGCGATTTAAATAAGTTTCTTATGTTATGCAAAGAGGAATCGAGTCTCCAAAAATCCATTTGGATTGAATGTTTTTTTTTTTTTTACTTTCTTTCCTTTTTATTTTGGCAATCAGGTCTGTAGTGAAACTGTATACAGTTACTAAAAATACTGTCTATAGTGTCGAGAAGAGAGAATTCTAACTAAATTTAACATCATTAAAGATAAATTACAGTAATTAAAAAATTTCATCCGAATTTTCCATTTTTAACATCATCGAAAAAGTATTTTTATTTTAAAATTTCTATACTTGAAAAAGGGTATTTTGAATAGTAAATAGTTGGATACGTAAATGTTGATTTATTTTATTTTTTTATCTTTAATTACATTAAAGTCTTTAATAAATATTAAATTGGGGGAAATTTTCGTTTATTATTATTTAAAAATTTCGTTTTAACCTTTTGTCATTTGTAGAAACTAATTAAAGACTCATGAAAGTATTAAAGGTTCTAATAAAATATGCAAATTAATTTTACTGATTATAGGAGTGGTAACACGTTTCCTCAATTCATTCAATTGGCCCTAAGCTTAGAAATAAAAATAAAAAATAAATAAATAAACAACAAATCATTTACTGTATTTTACAATCTTTTAAATGAAATATTGCATTATATATGCGTGTAATGTTGTAGTTTTTTTTAAATGAATTTAGATACATAATTCACTAATTTTTTTTCTCCATTCTTTCTAATTAAATGCTTTTTGATTCCTTAAACTGAAATTATTTATCCCTTTAAATAAAACTAAATTGTAGCCAAACCTCTTAACAACGGCCACTGACGGTAATATAAAAAAATCTTCCGTTGTTTGGAGGTTATTTTTTTTACGTTCAAAAAAAAACCTCCCGAAAAACTGTCCTCGGTTTACAGGAGGCCCTTATTGGAGGCCTGACTATATTACAACATATAGCAGCGCTTAAAACAGAAATGCGACGAAAAAAATAATTAAAAAGTTATTAATTACAGTCGTTTAATATCTAAATGACACGTTTATCATCATTATATCTCGAATGATAATTATTTTTCACTATAACTTTACGAAAGAACGGCGATAGAAGGCCTCTTATTATGCAACATACCAGAATCCTTAGGGGGGTGTGCAGATGCCTATTAATTAATACAATTTTTCACGTAGCTTTTAATATAATTTTGCATTTATTTAATTATTTCAATATAGAATTATGTAGTTCGTCTTTATTAAAGGTAACCTTCCGTTCAATATTTTGAGAGATATTCAAATATATTTCGGCTATTTCGTACAGATTTGATATAAAAATTAAGAATTGAAAAGTATAAAATCCTCTTTTTTCCTCCCCCTCTGCATTTTCTATCTTCATTTGGCACCGTAAATCAAGCGAATTAAGCCATTTCCGATCAGATACTGTAGTGCCAATTTAGCATCATTAAGAATGCGCCTTCGGAGATCTAATGAATTTAAAAGCTAATGTCAATGGTTTCTTTAATTATAGTATTAATATGCAATCGCATTATCACCCGCTTATATCTATTCGAATGGCCGATAAATAATTATACTCCTCGACGAGATTGTATTCTGCCAAGGCCGAAAAACGCGGCGGCACTACTAAGAGAACCCCTCTTTTTTTTTTTATGGTATTTAAAATGTCGGTGGAGAATAAAAACACGTTATTCATAAATCGATGAAGGATTATACTCGGTAGAACTAGAATTTTAAAATGTACTTGCAAAAAGAACTTTTTTTATTTTTAATTCTTGCAGTTGCAAAGCGGGAACAGAGAAGATAAAGAATGCGCCGCTTGCACCATAGCCAGTTTGGTTAATCGTCCGGAAGCGGTGGAATCTCTGCTGCAAGCCAATATAGTCAAGATCGCCGGTCCTTTGTTACTCGATCCTAACCACGTGGTTCGATATACTACGGCAGGAGCGTTGAGGTATACGATAAATCTCTAAATCACTCCGATCCTATTCGGATTCCTCATTTTTTAACTATTAGCAATTTCTTGGATTTCTTGGTTCCCTCCATCTCTTTTGCAAATCTTCCAACTTTCGGGATAGAAATTCTCTCCTTCCGGATTCGAATTTATTCCCATTACAACTAACCGATTTAACTAAGTCAAATTTTTTAAAGGGAATTTTTTTTTTCCTCTTTCCCTCCCGGACGAAGCGCATTTATCGATCCGTCGCACTTGTGGAAGCGAAATATCGAATGACGATAAACATCTTCGCCCAGAAAGAAGTTTTCGTGTCGCCAGATAAATATTTATAAATTTTATTCAAAAATCCGAAGTTTGCAGAATTTTCTGGCGTTTTTAATTCGAAATTTTCTGCCCAGAAATCGAATTTTATTATTCATTTAATTTTTAATTCGGATTACCGCGAATAATGTTTCGGTTTTTTAATAACTGGATAAAAGATTTGGCCGGTTTTAGGTAAAGTATATAAGAAAATTGCCAGGAGGAAACCATTTTTTTTTTTTTGTTAGTTTCGGCGCTCGGGCCGTTTCTCCGGCGTAGAGACTGTTTGTACCAGGAACCACCACAACCTGTCATAAATTACGTGCTCGGTATTGTTATGCTAGATGGATATCTGGCAGTTTATTACGCCATAAACCCTACCCGGGTATCCGCCCACCGGGACGGCATCGATCGGGCGGCGACCAATTTTACGTCAAGAACAATAAGTTATTTTTCGAACGCCTTCCTCCGAAACTCGAACTAATTAACGGATCGAACCCGTTCCGATAAGTCGGAGGGAGGAGGAGGAGGAGGAAGAGGAATCTCGCATCCGTTTCGCTAGCGAAAAACGCTTTAGCGGGGTTTCGCCGATCGATTTATTTTATACGTATATATTTTTTAAATTAAAAATTTGTTTTTTGTGTGTGTGTTGGCGTTATACGTTTCGAGGAGTTCGGCGCCCGGGGTGTGACTCCGCCCGATTCGACTCTTCGCGCGCGGTGGGCGCAGATGCTCGAATTTTTCGCCTCGCCGGCAAAAATGGACACACCCTACTCCCGATAAGGGTCCGGTAGCCGGCACGAAGAAGCGGGATCTGCATCGACATCTTCATCCTTCTTCTGGACGGTCCGGGTGGTTTCCGGCCGCACTCTTATCTGTGGTCTTCCATTTGATATTCACCTCTCTCGCGCAATAAATTCGAATCCGGCCCGTGGGTAGGGCGAGGCACGGGCTCTTCCCTGACCGGTCCTGCTTATAATTTTTTTTTTTTTTTTTTTTTGGAAAGCGGTCGCTGTCCGGCGCCTCTCCCGGAAGGGGAAAGGTGTCGGAGATTCTACCAACCAATAATTACTCCCACGAGATGGAAGATCCCTCACTCCGCGGGATGTTTCGGATGGAAGGAAGACGGCCTGCGGGAGTGGGCCGTTCTTTAAATTTCTTTTGTCTCCACGATTTATGCCCCCCGACCGGGAAAAAAATTTACGGACTCTTTTCGTTTCCACGTTGACGAATCGAGTGTAAACTTTGCGGGCCCACCGGAGACGGCGATCCCATGTGGCACGCCGAGTCGTTTTTTGACGGGTTGGTCTTCCGGGGACCTTACGGAATGTCGCGCTCTTTTTTTCTTTGTTGTTTTTATTTTATTTATTTGAAAATTTGTTTTGTTTTGGACAGAAATCTGAGCGTGGGAGGACACGACGTTTGCCGCGAGATGATACGCCAGGACGTGATGACGCCGACGGTGGCTCTTCTCCGACAGGTTGGTCATTAGCAGTTCGGTGGGTAAGGCGAAGAGAGGGCGATTTTGTGCCCCCGCCCTCGCCCGCATCCTCCACTCGACCGACAGCTGCGTCGGCGCGAGATGTCATTTTTCTTGTCGCCGGATTGCCTGGCGAGCGTAAGTTATTTTGATGACGACTGCGCCCGTCCCGGCGGGTTTAACCTCCTTCAACCGAGAAAATTCCAACGCCGTCTGCCGGCGAGGTGCATTTTTGATATTTCGGCTTCCCCCCCCGGCCGTCCCCCGCCCGTCGGATCTTACATTGTAACGATGAAAAATAACGAGAAAACTATGGCCTGGGAGACCGAAGTTTAATGAGCTGGCGGTCCTGCGAGAGGACGGTCTCGGCGTCCGATGCGTGACGGCGGTCGGGTAGGGCATTAGTTTGCACGAATTAGTCTCCGTGCTTGCATCGGGAGCAGAGAGATGAGAGGGGAGGCGGAGGGATTGCAGAGACGGCAAATGCAAAATGAGCTCTGGGTCGCCTGAGAATTGGCGGGCAAGGATTAGGTTGGAGCCGAGACGGTCCTGACTCTCCAATGCAAATGAAAAGTACTACCAAGGGAGGGGAAGGCATGAAAGATTTATACATATGCTGCGCTCTCCTGTCCTCTCCGTGTTTTATATACTGTGATTGACGGCGCTTCTTACTTTAAAGGTATTAAAGGCTTTTTTCCCCAGATGCCCCTCACTTCCATGTGGCTGGATTTAAGTGTACAACTCATTCCAGCCACTGGGTCCGGGAAATGGGAAAAGTGACGACATCGAAAGTTAATGCCGTTCCAATCCAAATAGGAAAAGTTGACGACTGGATTTAGTCGGCGCTGGAAATTATCCAATCCTCACTTCTAACCAATGGAAGTTGGCAGACGTCTCCCTTCCTATTATTCGCTCGCTCTCTCCGCACAAACTTTCTTCTTGTCGTCATTTTCCTAACCTGTTACCAAAAAAAAAAAAAAAATGAATAAAATATAAACAGATGTAACTTAAAAACCTGTCGTAATCGTACACCCTCTTTTTTTTTCTTTTTTAATTCGGTTTTCGGCTCTCTTCGTCACGTTCCTAATAAATAATTCCGGGTGATTACGGATGTAAAAATCGATTAGTCCGAAGATAGGCGTTGCTCGGTAACCGTTTCGAATTATAAACATCGTGTACCACGGCAGAAACCTTATTTCTTTTCAGTACTATCGCCAGTGGTTACCCGCCAAATCGACGGAATCGAAAATTGATTCGGAAAAGGAAACTTTCTGCGAGGCCGTCAATTTACTATGGAATCTGTGGTAAGTTTCTTCAAATATTAATTAATACTGTTTCGTTATAATTTTAATGGTTTTCCAGAAAAGAAAAATCTTTTTACGGTCGTTAAGATTGATGATACTTAATCACGTCGGGAGTAAGTCGACTAAATATGTCGCCGTGTTTAAAAAAAAGCGACCTCTTTTTTTTTTTTTTTTTTTCGTAATTTAAATTACGTGAAAACAGCCGGCAACACTGTCACTTCTTTAACCGAGTGTCCTGAGATTTGCTTTGTTGCCAGTTTGTTTGTTTTTTTAAATAATTTTATATATTTAATCTTCAGAATATTATATTACGTAATTGGAAGAAAAATTACTACACGTTTAGAAAAATAATGCTTGTAGAAAGATTAAGAACAATTGAAATAATAAACCCTATCATGTGTTGCTTTATTTGTTTTGCAAGCTCGTCTCTTATTGGTTCTCATATTTTTCATATGGAATAAATTTTTTTTTCTCATATGTTTATTGTTAATTTAAAAAAATATAATATTTAAATAGTTTTTATTAATTGTCTTCGAACTTTTAGTGAAGCTTCCCTTCCTGTAATTAAAAAAAAAAACAATTATTAAAATCATAAACTTAAAATTTCATTTCTAAAATTCTTCTTGCAATATAAATTTATAAAAAAAAAAAAAATAGGGTTTTTGTTTAATTTTGACCATTTTCATCCACCGCGTACCGAGTTTTTTTTAAATTGTACCCGTCGAGGGTTTGACTGGGCCCGCGACGGAGGGACCGGACGGTGCGGAACGGGATCCGACGGACCGTCTGCGAAAAATTTCCGGGGTTATTTTGACCGATCGGATTCAATTTCGGGTCCCGCAAGCGGTGGGTCGGCGCGTTACCGTCCTGGCGATCCAGTCGAGAGTTTATAGGTTAGAAAATGTGTTATCGTTAGGAAGTGTTTATTTTATTTTAGAAAGCGAGTGTTTTATTTTGCAAAATATAGGTAAAATATTTTAATATTTAGATTTAAACTGTTAAAGACTGCTGCCCAGATTCATTTAATAAAGTTATTTGGTCAAGCAAATCTTCTACATAAATATATGCTATTAATAAAGTATAGTATAAAAAAAATATGTTTTAAATAATAATAATAATTTATTTTAAGGTCAAAAAGTTCAAGATTTTTTGAATATTTTTCAGCGAAAGCAGCGAAATTGCGGTCGATATTATTACTAAAGAGCAATTGTTACCCATTCTCGTTTCCTGTCTGGATGTCAAAAACTTTGATGTTAAAGTTTGTGTGACTGTCTGTGAGTGATTTGAAAATCATTGTATGTATCGCTAATGTACTTGTGAATAGTGTTCTTAATTACTTTTTTCTTTCTTTTTTTAAGCCCAGTGCCTAAATACGATTTCTGAAGATAACAGTGAAGTGATTGAAGCTCTTCGCAAGCCCGAAATTCTGGAAACTATACATTCTTTAGTCAGTCTTCCTCAGAATGACTCTCCTTGGTTGTTGCTCAGAGCATTAGCTTCCAGTAAGTTAATTTTAGTAATTTTTTGTTCTGTCTTGAACTAACTTTATACTTACAACACTTTAATGTAGCTAACTAATATTGTTTGTATTCTGAAAGGTTTGATGCTGAATATTTATTCTGATACGTTTGGAAATTGCCCTCCAGTGGCTACCACTTCCATTATAAAAACAATCACTGAAGTTCTGAGTGCAGAAGTGGGTCTTCTACTTAAATCATTGGCAGAGATGATAGTCAGCTATAAGGTATGTATCAGTTATTTGAAGTTTCAATTTGTGAATTATTAAATGCCCATTTTCTGATTTTTAAGTCTCTACTCTTTCAGGAAGGAAAGAAAACAAATCATAAAACAGCCGAGGAAATTGAAAAAAATGTAAAATTTAAATATTTTGATTATATTATAATCACAAATTAAGGTAATAAAAATTTATTTATGACAATGACGATTTCGTTGTTTCAGGATGCCGTACTAGAGACGATGTTATCTCAGTCGTCTGACATGTTGAATGCTCTACATATTATTTTAGAACTATTAACAAACTTGTGTGCTTGTGAAGGTGAGTTTTGTAATTATAAATCCAACATAAATTCATTCAAATGGTATGCTGATTCTTCCGTATCTTTGTCGATAAATTTTACTTGTAATTGTGAAATCGTCGACTGTTGTTAGAGATAGTATAATGTTTGAAATATGAGGCAAGTAATGTTTCAAATGTAAAGAATACGAAAATTTGTTTCAGATGGAGCCGATAAATGGGATAATCTGAGCAGTAGCGATACGAGTGATGACATCACTGATGTTTCGATGGATGGCGAAGAAACTGATGAATTTCATAAAGTAATTGAGGCAATATAACAAGAAGAGAGATTCTTTTTGATACAGCATAAAGTTAAAAGTATAAAATTATTAAGATAAGAAAAACTTTTTTTTTTTTTAATAGTTCTTGAATATTCCTTGTGAACTACATGAGGCAATTGTCAGTCAGTCACTGTTACAAAAAATTCTTTCTTTTGCTGCTGGACCAGCCGAAGAAATTTCCACAGTTTTACAAAGTTTTAAACAAAGTAGAGATTTTTTGAAAAGGTAAATGCTAAGCTTTATAACTTAGGGGCTTTCTATTAATTACATGTACATGTGCATTCATTAATTTTGTGTTTTCACACAGTTTAAGGAGAGGGTTGAATCATTGTTTACATGGACTTTCTTAGTGGTATTAGAAAGTTTTTCATATAAGCCTACTTAACTAGTCAGGTGAATAAACTATAAGTTAAGAAATATTTGCAGAACCTTTTAAAGCCATTTCTTCAATGTTGGGGATCTTTAAACTATTGTATATGTAATTAAAGATACATCATTGTATGCAGGAAGGGAGAGAGTCAAAAGTGACAAAAACTGTTTACATATAATTAATGGATTGTTCAAATCTTCATAGAAATTCAAATTCTTTTTATAAACTGTTTACAGTGATATTTATATTCTGGACATAAAAAATATTATACATAATAAATAATTCATTCAGTTTGTTGTATGAATATAAATGTAATTAATGATAATTCATTAAAAGTATTGATATGTATAAGAGCAAGAAAACAAGAATTTTTGAGTGTAATATATTTTCATACATTCTCACTGAAGAAAACTAAAATTTAATTGAACCTAAAAGTAGACAATTTGAATTTATAAAAAAGTAAAGTTTAGGAAATTTTTGTGTTTCTATGAATCCTTAATATCAAAAGAAAGAGGACGTAAGTTATAAATTTAAAAAGTTTAATCACACATAAAAATTTATCACTTTTTTCTGTCAATAACGTTTTTAATATTTAAGATGACTTAATATTTTTCTCTTACAGGATTCAGGGGATTCAATATAGAGCTCTGTTATGCATAAGTAATATTGTACAGTGTCTAGATATGGAAGATATGGGAGGAGTGGATGCTGTCTGTCAGATTTGGATGAATTTGGCAAGACTAGCTTTCAAGGATACAGGTTGTCTTGCAATTTCAAATACCATAGATTTAATGATCGTAATCGTCTCGTGAAATTTGCACTTTTTTAATGGGTTTAATATATCTGTACAATTATTATATTATGCTCATAAGTAATGACTTCATGTTGTTTCTCTACATAAACAAATAAATTTAGACATTTAGGGTTATTAATTTTTTTTTTATCATGAAGCATTTCAAGACTGTAATATTCTTTGAAAGAAGTTTTAAATTTTAACGTGTTTGAATATTGTAAGCTAGAAGCATCTGAAGTACAGCTCTCCCTTGATAGTCCGGCATTTTTTAATCTGACATGCTCAGTAGTCCGACGCACCTCCCGTCAAGGTACCCGTCCCCGTTATGTTTCTGCTTGCACAGAAGCATGTCGCGACGTAAATCTCCCCATCCAATTCTTACACGATGACACACATTTTGTGTGTTTTCTGTGAGCAGTTCTGTTCAAACAGTTGGAGTAGGGAATATTGTAAGCTACTGCTAGCAAAACAATGCAAAATATGTAATTATTTTCGGTAATACCTGTCGGACTATTAAGGGAGAGCTGTAGTTCAAAAATTACTTTTAATAACAATCACAAGCTTGTAAATATCTGAATTTATTCATTTATAATCAATAATTACCAATACAATTGTCCTTAATTTTGCAGATAAAAATTTCTTTCCTGTAGGAAAAATTTAACTTTTTTTTATTTGTGAACATTGAACATGCTAAAAGATTTGAACAATGAGTCAATAAATATAAATCACTTGAGGTACAGTACATTATATTATTATTTTATTCATGCTTATACATTATTATAACATTTGAATACATCTTATAGTAACTTCAAACTTAAAATGTACAGTACATGTTTTTAAAACACATTCAATTTAATGGACTTCTGTCAATAGCAGACACTCCTTTTATTAAACAGAGGGTTTATTGTACTTTAAAATAATGTAAATTATTGAAATATCTAATAATGACAAATTTCACATATAATGATTATGGTTATTAAATTTTCTATATTTAAATTACTAAAAGATTGAAATTATTATTATTATTATTTTAAAATTCCATTTATTCTCATTTTCTTTTTGATAGTTAAATTTATTTACTTTTTCAGATGTAAATAATACTCAGATGTTAGAAGCAAGCAGTAGTGCTGTACGTGCAATATTACAAAGACTTCTGGAATGTAAAGCAAACTCTCGAATGCAGCAAGTAACTTTGGATGACGTTCAAGTTTTGATTAACATTGGACGTCAGACTTCCGACACGAGAATTAGGATTAACGTCATTCGAATACTTGCAAATTTAAGCAATCTTTTAAATAAATCTTGTGATGATTATTCAGAAATTATAAAGGCAAGTATTACGAATAATTATTTTACACAAAATACACTTGAAAAACTTTTAACAACTTTGAATTTTAATTAATTATCCTTTCATCTTATAAAACAAATACATTTATATAAAGTTAAAATCTTTTTCATTTACAATTCTAAGATTTTTGTTATAAGTATATAAAAAGGAATGTAATATTATTAAAATATCTAAAAATATAAACAAATATTACTTTTGTAACACAAATGAATACAAGCAAAATAAGAACATTTGCTTTCATGTAATGTGTATCTGAATAACAGAAAAATATTGAATATTAATAATATATGATTAAAAATATGAGAATAAAATCAAGCACATTTATTTACTTTTTGCTTAACTCCATGTTCTGTAAACACTAAATTTTAACTTGTCATTGCAGAAACCTAGTTTGTTTGCCATGACACAACATACTAGGTTGCTGCAAAATATAGTTGGCGAGAAGCATCATAGCACTTTTTGTGTGTATTGTGTATTCATATGTAATTAAAATTACAAAAATATGAAATAATTTATATATATTAAAACAACTGATTCCATCGTTTTTAATTCTTTTATTTTAAAATTGTTTGTACTGTAAAATATCCCAAGAAATTCTTCTCTTTCGATACTGACTTTTGAGAAGTTAAAAAAATTTTTATAATCATCATATTAAGAATGCTGTATACAGTTTAAGCTAAATACATGTGTATTTATAATTCACATTAAAGTATATAAAGAAATAGGAATGCCTCAAGAAAAAATTACAAGTTGGGGTGGCACTATTAGAAAAAGATTGAAAAACACTGCACTAATAGGATTTTTTTTTATGTCCATCATGGATTTGACCACGTGAGAGATGAAGCTTGACATACGAGTTCAAACTATAAGGGGCAGTCAAATGAAAACGAGACAGATGGGAAAAAAGTAAGTAAACTGTTTATTATTCCAAAAGTAATTTCTATGACTGTTAATACATTTATCCCACTGTGAGACAAGATGGTCAATGCCTTCATGGAATAATGTTTGCTGTTGCCTACAGAACCATGATTGTACCCAGGTGTGCACCTCTTTGTCCGAAGCAAATCGACGACCGTGAATGTTTTTCTTCAGGGCTCTAAAAATATGGAAATTGATGGGAGAGATCGGGATTGTATGGAGGTTGTGTAATGGCTTCCCAGCAAAACTTCTGCAGTGTAGTTGAAACAACCTTGGCAACATGGGTTTGACAGACAGCATCATTCCGTTGCAGGATAATGCCCGTGGGCGGGCATTATCCTGCAACGGAATGATGCTGTCTGTCAAAATTCGTGGGCGTTTGGACTTGATGGTGTGCTTCAAGTTTTGCTGGGAAGCCTTTACACATCCTCCATACAGTCCTGATCTCTCCCCATGTGATTTCCATATTTTTGGAGCCCCGAAGGAGGACATTCGTGGCCGTCGATTTGCTTCGGACAAAGAGGTGCACGTCTGGGTACAATCATGGTCTGTAGGCAACAGCAAACATTATTCCATGAAGGCATTGACCATCTTGTCTCACTGTGGGATAAATGTATTAACAGTCATGGAAATTACTTTTGAAATAATAAACAGTTTACTTACTTTTTTCCCATCTGTCTCATTTTCATTTGACTGCCCTTTATACATAGTAAAATTTCTGAGAATCTGACACTCAATACCTAAATCTCTAGAACAGCAAGCTCATATGTATACTATTTAGAGGTTTTAAACTGTTGTCTGTCTGTTAGTTTTATGAAATGATTTATTATTGACATGAATTTGTTTTAATTTATTGCCTAATGTTCTATAAACATAGAACATTAGGCAATAAATTAAACATAGCAATATACAGGTATACCTCGCCTTAAGTCAGTAATTGGTTCCAGGAGAGGCGACTTAAGTTGAAAAACGACGTAAGTCGAATTTACTTGTCACTAGGCTAAACCACAAATAACCATTCCCGGTTCTGTATTTTATATATAAATAGATTCTTATTAATCATATATTATTAAAAATGCATTTTAAGCCTACAAACAAATTTTAGTTTTTAATATAGTATAGGAAAAAAAGTAATCTAAATTTACGAATACATGTACTGTAAGTACTGTACAGTACATACTTGTAAATATACACGTTTACAATTTGGCGATGTTTACAGTACATTGCGGACTCTTTATTTGTGAATGTGGTTTGCTCTAAGACATTATAAAATAAGATGATTTTGTGAGGTTAAATAACAAATACAGTTATTAAAATTATTTTGCGATAGTAAAAAATAAACTATTTTATGTTAAATTTACCAATAACCAGTGGCGCTGACAACGATGCCAAACAGTAGATATTGGAACTAACGTGGAAAATGCCAATATTGAGCTCTTAAACACCGCTAAATAAGACGAGAACACAGAGTCACAGATGTTTTCATATTTCATTCTGTATGATTTATGATGATTATATTAACATTTACTGTAAATGTATGTATTTTAATATGATTTTATATGTTTTTAACACTTTTCTAGTGATATTACGATTTCAATATTTGTGGCGGACAGACATAAAGTCGAATAAAACGACTTAAACTTGATTTTCATTTTTTCACATATTCTTTTGACAAATGACTTTGAATCAAAGTATACTAAATTTTAACAAACTCAAATTAGTACCAAATTTCAAATCTTTGAGAAAAATTTTACATGTGTAATAGAAATTTATGTAAAAAATAAAATTTGCCTTCCTTACAGTCTTCTTGTAATTTGCAAGAATTGACTTATATATCATATGCTTTATGAAAATATTTCACCTCTTACTGCATAAGAAATGAAATTTTTATTGGTTTTAATAGATCCTTAGTGTCGAGAAGAATAAAATTTCCAGGTCATAGCAGTAATCTACAAGTAAAGATTTATTGTAATTTAGTGCATTTTTGGAATTTTTCATAAAAATATAGGGGTTCTTTTTTAATAAAATAGTGTATTAAATTTTTGTAAAAATATAATAATAATTTTTTTAATATATTGATAGATGATGTAATTCTGAAAATTTCAGTTGAAACATTGTAATTTGAACTTCAAATCTATACTTGTTCAGTCATTTGAAAAGAATTTAAATTATTTTAATTAATTTAAAAATTTTATAAAAACGAGAAAAAAATTATCACAAGAAAATGAAATTTGACCTGTTTAAACAGAGGTAGAAAATTGAAAACCTTGTTGTTTGGATAGTATGTCAGATAGTATAACAGCCCCCTAACTGCACTGTTTATAATTCAATTTTATGACTTCCAGATGTGAAGGTTTTGTTACCACTTTTGTGTGGTATACTTGTTCCTAAATTATACCTGTCTTTTTTTCCTCTCTATCTCCCTTGAGAAATGAATCAAAGAAAGTCAGTGCAAACCAATAAAAAAGGAGAATAATGATGACTCTCCCTTCTATAATTACCCACTGTAATGGCAAGCTGTGTCTAAGAACGCTAATCTAAACATCAACATTTTTTATTTATTTTAAAAATTTACCGAAAAGTTTTATTTATTTATTGTTTTTTTTTTCTGTCACAACTAGATGCATAGACACTGGGCATTTTTGACATCACTCTTTATTCAGGAATATCGTGTGGGCCAATACGCATTTCGGGCATCTGCTCTCTTCTGTCAGCTACATGATAAAACACGGACATGAATTTTTCATATCACAAAATGTTTTATATTATGATATGTAACAATGTACTTTTACTTTTGAGATATCTTGTAAGGTGCTAACATATATACATCTTACTTAAAAATTATATTAACTGTAATAATTTTTAACTATAACTAAAATTTCTTGGCATTACTCTCAATAGCACTTAGCTCATATTTGTTATGTCCGTGTTTACCAGGTTCTCCTTAATCTTGTTGGCATGTTAAAAATTTTTTTTTATTAAAAAACATTGTTTAATTATATAAATGTTTTTTTTTATTATAATACTTTTAACCATATTTTTCTTTTATAAATATAGTATTTGATAGTAATTAAAATATTCTGTTCTGTACTTCTAAAATTGAAAATGCTTTATTATGCTCTAATAACTAATTATTATTACATATAGAATTTACAGGTTAAAGTTATGTCTATGCAAAAGATTGAGTACGATTAGATTTCTTTTTTCCTTTACAGACTATCGGTCTGTATTTGCTAGAAGTGAGTAGCAAAGATGCAGAACTTCATGTTTCTGCAGAGGCGCTGGATGCTATCTTTGACGTATTTGCTGAAGACGACGTCGATCCCTTAGCCCAACAGATCCAGCTATTAGAGAGACTAAAAAATCTTCTTTCGGCATTAAAAGGAAAAGTAAGTACTTCCTTATTTAAGCGTATTTTGAAAACAATGCTTAACAGCAAGTTACATAATAATTTACTTGATAATTTCTTATTCTAATTGTAAATCTTCATTACGTGTTTGAAATTAAAACTCATTTTATGAATGTATAAAACAATAAAAGTGCCCTTAATATGCTCAGTGGGATTAACATTTTCAAATTCTAAATAATATATCCTGATGCTGACTTAAGCAATAAGAGCCAAAATGACTTTTATTTCAAGATAAATTGATATTAAAATGTTAAAGAATAGAGAAAAGCTGATAGATGATAAATATTGGAAAACTCAAATGACTAGTTATAGTTCTATCATATCATTTATTCTATTAAATATGTAATCGGGCATCTTCAGAAAATTTGTCGATAATTCAGAATTGTCCAATAATAATCAAGCATGCCAGTATTCCATACACATGTAGCTTTTGTGAACCTTTTTGTATACAGTACATACTCGGAAAATAAATATTATATGCATAGAAATCATTATAAGTATGTTTATTAACACTTGCATATCTTCAGTCAATCTTAACACCGTAGTCTTGCAATGTAACATCAGACAGAATGTGTGTAGACAAATGGGAACCATACAGCAGCACATAGTGTCTGCAATATTCAGATAGCATATAACAGGAATGGGCAAGCAAGAGTTCAGTGGGAGCCGAAATGTAGGTTTTGCAAAATGCATGGGAGCCGCAGTTCTGTACTTTTTTATTCTGTACCGCAGTTCTGTACTGCGATTTTATTATATAATATAAATATAATATAAAACAAATATGGAATTTTTTAATAAATATATTTTCACAAAATTGTGGAAATAAAAGTGTAAAAATAATAATAATAATAATAATCAGAAATTAACACTTTCAGCAAGAGCCACATGTAACTCAAAAAGAGCTGCATGCAACTCTCGAAGCCGCATTTGCCCATGTCTGGCATATAACTTATAGAATTTTGTGAAAATATAAAAAATTCCTGATAACCTGGCACTACTATAGTCCCATAAGTGACAAATTAATGAGATTCTACTATACATTTCTCTTTCTTTGGTCTCAACAGTAGAATTTAGATGAAAACAAGAGAAATAGCTATCAGCTTGTCGATGACTTTGTAGATCTCGTCCCTGAAATTTAGAAGTATTTATTTTTCAAAACAGTCAAGTTTGATAATTTTCAATTCTGCTTTGGTATAAAATATGACCACCTATACCTCTTTATCTCCTTCTTTGACATATAATATCCAAACTGTAATGGCATCGATGCCTCGTGTAGAAGCATTCCTGCCAAATTTCAAAATGTTTGGTCCACTGGATCCCAAGATATAAATCAAATTACAGGCCAATGCGCCATAACAAACAGGCCATAATTTATACATGCAGAATTTCATTCCTATCTTTTTGTAAGATTTTTGAATCAGGACATTAAAATGTCGAGAAATGCAAATTGTAGCATGCCAAAATTTGACCAATTAGGATATTTTTCCTGTTACTGTTAATAAGCGGAAAAGTAAAAACGGTAATTCCAGAATTGGCATAAATGGTACTATATATTACCGAGACCTTATTTTGTTTAAGATACAGGCATATATAGATTGCTCGAAACAAGTATTAAAGAACACTAGCACAATTTAATTAAAAACAGAAAAACTATGATATTTAGCTTTACTTTCAATTAGGATTAAGATTAATATGTTAATTAGGTTGTTCTCTACTTACGTCTGATTTTAAATATCCTTGCTTACAACAGTGGAAGAACTTTATATGGCAACAACAATAAATAGGAGACAAGATGGAACTTGCTATGCCTAATTTAAATATTTTTTTGTGATTTCACTTTAATAAAAACAAAATTTCTAAGATAACAAAAAATTTGCCGATAAAGTTTGATTTAAATGAATGAACTTCTTATTTCAGATCAACCTAAAGAAGAAAAATTTGGGCGAACATTTTCCCATAGTTATGACAGCAAAAATGAATCTTATACGTTTCATTAAGTATAAGACGAATTATTACGACAATCGATGAGTTGATTATCTGTATATTTTACATAAAAATAAATTTATTGTTGAATTTTTGTGCATCTGTCTTGATCTGTATGAAAATATTTTGAATGTAGAATTTCATATTATTAGTATAATAATATCGCCGAAATCAAGACATGTTTTATGTTCGACATTAAAGGTCCTGCCTATATAGAAGTGTGGAAGAGGAAGCAGAGTCACGGTCATCATTACTTGCACGTGGGTACACTTCATTGTATCTGTCATCCTATTATATTGAGTGTCCCGTAGGAGTTATGTTGATGATTGTTCATTCTTTTACGGGAATTTATGGCACTGAGTAAGGGGAAATGAAAGTTATTTTGATGTTGACAACCCTCGGTCGGCGTGAAGTTGCCGGAGAAAGTTTAACACGCTGTAGCCAGACTTCCTATGATGGTATACGGCAGTCTGAACATAGCTTTTTAAACTTTTCGATGACTTTATGTCAACTGAGGATTACACAACTCAAATTCTTTCCTCTTGTACTTTACCTGCAAACATCAACATCATAACTCCTACATTGCTAGGTTTGAGACATCCCATATTCATTGTTAATAAGTGCTGAATTCAACTAAAATTTAGAGTATATTAAATATATACAGAATCGGGTTCAAAGTTGTTGTATAAAAAGTTATATGTAGTTAACTGGTTAAATCTCTAAGTTTTATGTCTTCAAAAAGAATATTGAAGCACAACTCCAATATTCTTTTTGAAGACATAAAACTTGGGAGATTTTGCACTTGATAGAATTGTGCTGGAGCACAAATAAATGTGCTACAGCACTATAGTTTCTGCATTATCCATGCTTCCAGTACTGGTAATTAGTCCACATAATCTGGAGTATACTGTATTGTAATTCATTTATCGTAGTGTTTCGGTCAAAATAATAATTATTGATAGATAGTTCAATGGATAAATTTATGCCACATTTGCATACTTCCCATTTTAAATTGATAGTGATCTTTGAATAGCCAGCCCAGTGTATAAAAAACTTCAGAAATTATTTATGTACAGTATTTCTTTGATACAAACAATTTGAAATTGTAGAAGACATTTATTTTTGAAGAATGCATTTCTGTTTAACCTTCAGGCAACTTTAACAAAGTTACGGATTTCTTTGTTTTAATGGAATGTACAAAGTTCGACATTTGAGAAATACGAGATATAATAATTCCATCAGGAAACATGCCATCAACCACAAGGATGCAGAGTTGTTCCCAATGGTCCAGAAATTCTATGTTCATCAACGCCTAACCAACAACATTTCTTCTGGCGCAAATTCTATGACGTCGCATGCATCCACCAATAGACGGCCGCCAAGCCTATTAAACAGTGAACGCAATTCGAAATGAAGAATTTCATCGTAGAATCGTTGTATTAAATCTAAAGATGTCTACCGGAAAGTAGATGAAAACGTTTGTGCAATGGTTTATTTGCTGAGTAACATTGTGAGTAGTTTTTTGTTTATCTTTACTATTGTTTGTCAATATTTTAATCCCCATATCTTCCATCAAGTACAAAGAAATGCATTTTATTCAAAAAGTTACCAAGAGATTAAGAGAAAAGTGCTGATTATATGTTTTAACATAAATTTATTTTTTGATTTCTGATCATTTTTAGGCATCTTGTAAGGGTGTATGAATGTATCTATGTACAACACACACACACAAGGGTAGGCTGTAAAGTGTTTTGCCACCTCTCATTTTTTTTTTTTTTTGTTTTTGAGTAGTGAGAAGTGGATAAAACCAGCTCTGCACTGTCATTTATCTCCCCTCAACTTTGCCTCAGTACCAGTTGAAATAGAATGGGGTTACCATTATTCTATGCATATGTCTAATGCATTTCAGACATATTTTATGCAGTGCAATTTTAGACATATGCATATAATGCATATGTCTAAAATTGCATTGCTGTCAATGGCTGCACACTTTAGAGGTATGAAGTAGTACACGTCAGGAGTTCAATTTGGCACAGAGTATTTGGTGCCCAAATCATGCGCACATAAAGTAAACCAGACTTGTAGGTAGTCAGGGGACCGAGAACCAGGTCAAAAGAAAATACAAAATGCTGAGACTGTTTCTGCAAACAGGCATGAGTGTGAGATTTGTACATGCGTTGCTCGCACTCTCCGAGACATAATCTTGTCCCAAAAATGGCTTCGCTGTTTTACTTGTTGAATTTTTGACTGCTGTAAACATTCTTCCCACTTACATTCATTGTCATATCACATAACCACACACATATATATATATATATATACTGGTATATATAATTAGAGCTAGGACATCTAGTCACTAAAAATCATATAGTTTTTTTTTATAACTACAATGGTGCCTCTTCGTATAATGTATTTAATGGATGTGCACCTGGAACGGATTAAGTGAAAAGTCCGTTATATGTTTTAACATGTATTTCTATGGGAAAATGCATTTCATATAATTCGTTTTGCAGCATAAAATAACCATACTGTACCATAAAAAATGAAAATGGAGCAGTCACCAATTATGCCGGGTAGTCAGATGTTGTGATGAGGAAGTGGAGGATCACTTTATTCACACATCATACAGATACAGACTTTTTACACATTGTAGCAGGTTTCTTTTTATTGTTTTTTAATCTGAGTCGGATTCAGGAGAGGCTATCGGAGCTTGCAGGGTCAACTCCTCTTGTTCCATCCTTTGTTTTTTTGGCAGCTGGCTTCTTGAAAAACATGTCCAAGGTGATTTGTTTCTCTCTCTTCTTCAACACCTATCAGAAATGACAGGCAAGGGTGTCATTGTAGAGATCATTGATCCTGTTGGCCTCAACTGTGTTTGGATAATGAGTGCTGGTAAACTCTTGAACCTGTCCCCATTTGACAAGGAAGTTTTTGTCAACTTTCCTCCTCCTGATAATTTCTTGCTTTGTTTCAATTGAAATCACCTTTCTGCTTTTTTAGAAACCATGATTTGCACAACACTTGAATAGATCTAAATACCCTGCACTGAGGTGATGTACTGTACGTAATAAACAAGGGAGCAAGCCGAATCCCAACGGGAGCTCTGTACTTCAGATATACTAATAATATATTATAAAAATAGCAGATTGTCATTGGCAACGGCAAAAGAGTGGAAACATCATTCGCACTTGTTTGCAGATAGTCCATTGTTCAAGTCACGTAACGGCCAAACAGAAAGTCCATTGTTCGCAGCGTCCGTTATTCGAGGCACCACTGTACATGATTTTTAGTGACTAGATGTCCTAGTTCTAATCACAATAAATGTACCAAAAAAAAAAAAAAAAAGTAAGGGGAGAAGTAAGTCTGAGGGACATACCAAGAGCAGCAAATGCAACAGACTAGTCTCACATTCTGCAGAAAGATTCAGCTGTGAAATAAGAATGTTACAATTCAGAGTTCCCCAAAATTACAAAATGCCAAAAAAGATCAAGAAAAGAATCGGATGAGGGAGAGAGGATGGTGGCACTCATGTGAGCCTGGAATGCCAGGCCTCACATGAGTGCCACCACGACAACAGTACCATTTGTTTTGGGATTTATGTCATTACTGTATACGGTCTATGGCCCAGATCTTGCTTCTAGCAATTTTCACTTGTTTCCTAAATTGAAGGAAGTTGAGACTGCAGATTCGGTTTTGGGTAAAAGAAAAACATTTTTCTATGGGTAGAATTTAGGAAGTTGTTATAAGCATTGGCAGAAATTGAATTGAAATTCTTTCCACATATTCTTCTACAATTTCAATAAGAGTTATAAATAAATCTCTCTCTGTTCTTTTGGTGGAGGCAAAATTTAAGTTAAATGAAAAATTAAATGTATCTTAAACCTTAAGTCCACCCTCTTATATTTTCAAATGTATAGGTAATAGAAATCTTACCTTATCTTAATATCTTAAAATCTTATCTTTTCTATTCTATAGAAAAGATAATTTATGGCGAACTGATTTTCAAAAATTATCGACTTTACATGGAATATGAAACATCAGTATGTATGTTACTGCAAAAGCTCAAAAGTCGTTAATCTGCAGACTAGGGTGATCCGTTAAAGTTGTGAAAATTGTTCCATTTCTCAAATTACCTAGATAATGTGCAGAGTATCTAGGTATCTGCTATGAAATTCACTTTACCAAGTGTCTAGTAGGTAATGTGCAATTGGTTTTTGCGACAAGCACACCTATTTGTGGTACATTTATTGATATTTGTGGCAAAGATCTTATTTTCAAAGTGTCACCAATCTTTAGACTGCACTAATAAGTAAGCACAATTGGATAATATTACTTATGGTGAGTAAAATGGTGGCTCATCTCTGATTCCAGCAAAGAGAAGAAAGGAAACAGTGGGGATGCACGTTCAAACCTAACCTAACCTAACCTAACCTATTGTAATAATTTGGTTGGTAATAATTATGGTAATTTATTAGAATAGGTTAGGTTAGGTTAGAACGTGCGTCCCCACTGTTTCCTTTCTTCTCTTTGCTGGAATCAGAGATGAGCTGCCATTTTACTCACCATAGGTAACATTAACTGCACAAATATATCATGAGATCACCAGAAAAAGTATGATAACTTTTATTATTTTTCGTCTCCAGTCCAAAAGTAGGGTATCGTTGAAGTCGTCTCAGTCCCCTCAGTTCAGATAGATACGCAAAGTCCCGAAATTCCATAGGTGGTTATCTATATAATAATTTCCCTAATTGTATTAATATTTTAAATCGTTTGATTTTTTGTATGTTTTTTAATTGGTTGATGATTGATTCTATCAACTAATTTGTTGATTGTTTGATTGTATTACTTGATTCTTTAGATATCAAAGATTAAATAAAGAACATTATGTTAATTTAAGTGTACAGAAACGTTGCTGTTGTTCCAGCAAAGATCTTATTTTCACTTTACCGAGTGCCTAGCAGGTAATTTGCAGATTACTTAGATAATCTGCACATTATCTAGGTAATTTGAGAAATAGAACAATTTTAGCAACTTTAATGGATCACCCTAGTTAATCTGCAGATTAGCTAGGTAATGTACACATTAACGACTTTCAAGCTTTAGCGGTAACATGTATATTAAATTCACTTGATTAAAAAATAAAATATACTGTTAGATAGAGTAAAAACGAAAACTAAATTCTGATATCTGCCTGAAAAACTTTTCAGAAACAATTTCCAATTTTTAATTATTTTCAGTTTGTAACTTTTCATGCAATTTCATTTCATGACTTTTTTTCAGGTCTTCTGTAGGTTTAGCCAGGCCCACGATGGGGGCAGCTGGATGTCTAAGACAGAGCCCGACAGCGGGTCTTTCGAGACCTCGTATGGGGCCTTTCTCCAGGCAGAGGGGGTAAATCGCCGGCTCCTCCCCGGTTAAAAAAATTCCAGTGGTTTTTACCACCCGGATGCTGTCTCTGGTCCACAAAATAGTATGCTGATACCTACCTTAACTGCTTGAACCATCTGGTCAGTAAACTAAAGATGTTATAGAATCCATTTAGAACAAAATTAGACTAAAATTAGCAATAATAAAATTTAATTTTATAATGTAATCTTGCAAGAAATAAATGAATACAAGATTCCAAAATAGCTTTTCCAGGCTTAAATGTATACCATGATTCAAAAGGATCTTGTTTGCAGGGGATTGATATTGGCAGATTTGTATTTTCATAGATAGGAATAGTTAGAATGGACAAGGATAATTCTGACTATTAATGCATAGGCTGACCATTTTTTATTATGTCATAATGAATACACCTAATGGATCCTTTGACTGTTTAACATGTTAGGTTTTTCATTAAAAAAGGAAACTAACTTTGCAATCTTCTCTAATAATATATATTGAAGTAACTAGTCTATTCACTTTTTTATTATCAGATCCTCTTCCATATACTTTATCTGCATTGGATAATGAAGCTATTGATGGATAACAGTAAAAATGTTCTATTTTATAAGCTTTTAAGTAGCAAAATATGGACTACATTATTTAAGTGTTTCAGTCTAGATTTCTACAGCTACATGGTTGCATAGCAACCATTGTTAGCAAAAATTTAAAAAACAATATTTTTGTTTGTAAATTGAGAATTGTCTTTAAAAGCACTTGGCAAACACTACAGCTGTTGGAATACCACATAAATTTGATTATTGAGCTGTAATTTGAAAAAATTGTGGACCCATAAATTTCCATCTGTCTGTCTTTCCCCAAGTTAGATATATGAAATACAAGACCAGTTATCGAAACCTTATGGGTGGGAGGCCCCAATCAACTGTATACAAACTTACGATGCAAACTGAAAGTCGCATTATATCAATTCAAAATTTCCCAATTAACAATAGAGTTGTGCCGATTGTCTAACAAAAAGTATGTTGTACAGTACATGGGTAAGACATTACTAATTTGAGGTGGAGATCATATATTATAAATAAAAATATGATTAAAAATTGAAGCCAGGCATTGTGACAATGTCTACACAACATAACATAACCTACAGTAAAATAAAAATATCAATATATATAACATTAACAAGCTATTCATAATAAAAGTAAATATTACATATAAATTGCTTGTTTATGTTGTGTTATGTAAATTATTTTTAGATGATTCATTTCATAGTAAAATGATCAATATGAGATGAAACGTCCAATCTTGAAAGATTTGGAATTTGATCTGAATGAATATTAAATTAGAATTTTTCAAAAATAATACTTCAGAAGACAGTTAAATTTTATATTATTTTGAAAATACAAAAATCAAAAGACAGGATGGAATGTAATTATTTAATTTCAAAATATACATCTGTAAATTGTAACATATATTTAATTTTGCTTTAACAATTAGAATAACATATCTTTTCTACACTATAATGTACTTACACTACACTATAATATACTTTTCTACACTATACTAGCACATGCATTTATTTAATTCAGTAGAACATTTCTCTTTAAATGGAAACTTTCATTCCCTCTGAAAATTGTGCCATCAATTTTTGACATAAATATTATACCGAAAAGACAGTCTTTTTTAAGACTGGTTAACGACAATATATTAATAAATTATACAACATATAACTCTGTCTAAATAATATGGAAGCATCAGATATGTGTATTTGTGTTGTAAATTTGAGCATTCCTATCACTCACATAAACATTCCAAAACGTACATGAAAACACATAATTGACATTATAACTTACATTTTACACTCGTGACTCCACAGTTAGTACTTTTTCTCTACACATCCAAGGCACTAAGGCTACGACAATATTTGATCTCTTTATTATATTTACACTCGATGTATACATTTCTGTTAACATGGACCGATAATTTATTCAATATTAAACTATCTGTTTCTTATTTAGCATGTAAGAATTGTGGTCCCAATAATAAATGAAAGTATGAAGATTAACGCTTAAATCACTTTATATAAGACTAAAAAAATTGTTTTAAAATATTGTATAGAATATAAACATTTTAAATAATAGTAAATTTTTTTGTTCAAACTTTCATTATTTTACTTTAAAAAAAACATTTGATAAAAAAAAATGACAAAAATAGTTTGGACAATTTGGTCAATTAAAAGATTTTTATAACAAATTAACTTATAAATGCATATTTTGCTTAATTCATTATAATCCCCAAAACATTTACAATCAAATATATTTTAAATTTTGATGAAATTATATTTATAAAATCATTAGCATAATGGGAATGATATTAATATATGGAATGAATATTGCCAATTTTTGTGAGATTTGTGAAGTTTGTGTCCAAACTATTTTCTTTCATTTGTATAAAGACATGAAATTATTCAAATAAGAAGACTGTGATGTGTGACAATACGTAAATTTGTTGCTGATATAGGTGTAGAGCTTCTCTTTATCCATTTATATTTCAGAGAGATCAAAATACTTACTTATACATTTTTAAAAACTTTTCATGAAATTCTTTGAAACGTTTCATCATAATTTTCAATTTATCTGGTTGAGGCAATATTGTTGTCCTAAAATGTTATAAAATTAAACAATTCATATAATTAAATTGTTTATTTCCATACATGTAATAATTATGTATTTTGTTTTGGGAATATATAATTACTATGTAAAAATTTAATTTCAATATTCAATATAACAATCCAAATTGTCCAGATTTCATTATCTGAAAATTTGGATAATTTTTATAAACAGTTTATTCATCTAGTTTAATATGGCTAGTATTTTTTCTTTGTTAAATTTATAAAACATTTATAATTCTTATAAAACATGATATATAATCTGCTAAGTATATTAGTTCCTTAATTATAATCTATTTTTGATGAAAAAATTTATTATGGTAATGCCACAATCTACATTTGATTAATGTGAATCAAATATTTTAAAGTTTTCATTAAAATTGATTTCATTTGTATTAAATATTTAATTTACCTGAAATGATAAGTTCCCGGTCTCTGTCCAAATCCGCTTCCCGGTACGATACAAATACCAGTATTTTCCAATAATTGCATTGCGTAGAAAAAATCTGGTTCTTGATTAAGTGACTACAATATGAAATATCAAAATTTTATTTAATTTGTAAACAATTTTTTTATTGAAAATATTAAAATTCTTAATTCATTCTACTACTATTCTGATGAATCCAAAGCAATTTGTATCAATTTCATTTTTGGAAATGATGAAACTCTGTGCAAATTCTATAGTGCTAGATCATTACTAATCAAGTTGGATTTATTATTGAACTAAAGTTAGATTATTAAATTAAATACAAGATAGCAATTAATCATTAGAATTTTTTGGAAGAAGAAACTGATTCAGAACAGGACTTGAACTTGCAATTCCTGTTTATCATGCAGATACATTGCCAATTATGCTATTCAACCCAGTCTGATCTTTGTTTGTAGACTAAATTAAATTAGTTTTGTGGCCTGTATGGTTATATCTGTTTACCTTCAGTCCAAATTACATAAAATTTGTATATTTATTTAGCTAAAATGTAGCCCAATAATAAATCCAGCTTAATTATTTGATTAGTAATATTTAAATGTATATACTGTATTTCATGTAGCATTTGCTTAGAAAGTTGTCTTGAAAATATGCACAATCAGGTAAATTACCATCTACCATTATAATGTTAGCAAGCAATAATATAATTTGGTGGTGGTCTTGGTCTATGTTAAAAAAAATACTACTCAATTATACTCATCAATATTATAATTTAAACAGAACATCTCAGATAATTCGAAGATTATATTATAGATGGGTCTTTATTTGGCAATAAAGAAACTTTGATGTGATTCAATCAAATAAATTTAGAAAAATTATTACAGGAACTATTTTTATTACAGTCCTGAAAGATGATGCATTTTCAAACACTATGAAAAATGCTTAAGTTTCAAATAAGAAATTAAGAATAAGTTGTCATTAAAATAAATATTTGTCTTTCTCCTCCACAATCTTCTTCATTACTACTACAATAAGAGTTCTGCATTTTACTTTCCTGGCTCTGCCGTATTTTCCCTCTGTTATATATAACAATCAATCAAAAAATGACACCCAAGATTTTTACATTTTTAGACTCGGGACCTTGAAATGTTGAGAAATGCAAAATATTCAGGGAATTCTCTCTCTCTCTTTGTGTGTGGGGAGAGCATGATTTTGTTCACCCTCTTTGAAAAATTTTTGAAAATTTGCAGAGAGGTTTGTGTATTAGGGGGATTTATGTTATGAAATTTTGGTAGTTAAAGGTCGACATGGAAGGGATAAAGGGGATCATTTGTCGTTGATGTTTACATACCAAATAATTGTTTTGCAATTATTCTGCACAATGTAATGTTTAATCTTCTTCATTGTTTAAAAACTAAGTGATAGAGACAAAAAATATAAATCATAGTAAATGAAAAAAATTAATTAATAGCTTAATTTTGTTATTACAAATTATAGACAATTCAATAATTTGTAGATACTGAAAATGAAAAAACTACAGTTTATGATATCCAACTCATTCAATACAATTCCCTCACATTGTTTATACTGTATGGTGGTAGTTTAACAATAATTATTCTAATTTAGTTTTAAAATTTGACAAGGTCCTCAATTTTAAAACTTATCAGAGATACCAAAGTATCACAAAATATTTTCTCCTTGCTCAAGGATTACTTAAAAGACAGAACAGCTGAGCTTAAATTGGACTTTCTTAAAAAAAAAAAAAAAAAAAAAACTGTTTCTTAAATAAAGGCTGTCCTCAAGATTCAGTAACTGGACCCTACTCTGGAATGTTATAAATGACTTGTTAATTAAATATCAGACAGCTTATTTTATAACTGATGAACAGAAACAATATCATTAAAAAATAAAATTTGACAAGTTGTTAATAATTAATTATTAAAATCCAAACATTTTTAGTCTTTGCCCATATGATGCAACACTTGGAATGGATGAAGCATTGTATTGGTGAGGATAGCTAAATTGGATCACGGTAGAGGTAGAAATATGATGGTCGTGCCAGTGGTCTGTTTCGTCATGAGATGGTCATAACCTGGGATATGCAACAATTCTTGAAAAATTGCTGTGCAACTTTTTCTGGAATTTTCATTCAAATACTTATGACATTGAGTTAAGTTTACCTCTTAAATATTTTCTATTACTAATATCGGTCTAATAAAAATGATATAATAGAATTAGTGACAGAAATAAAATGCTTGAAATTAAAGGTTGCTAATTATGTCACATTATATCAAATCTAAGACATACAAAACCTGAAAAATAGTTCATCTTACATTTAAGTTGATATTGATTTAACATTTTATTTTTCCTAACAGATGCACAAAATAAAGGGGAAAGTCTATTGCTTGAATGAATTGAAGGGTGTACAAGGTGTGGTGCATTGTCATCTTCAGATAAGATACAGAACATCGCACTTTGTACATCTATCACCATCCTTTCTAATTTAATTTTTATTGAAAGTATTGTGTAAAAGTGGAATTTAAAGGTGTTATGAATATTTGTTTGATTTTTGAAATGAGGGTAATTTCATATCTTACAGGTTATTACTGGAGAGAGTACTTCTGGTGTAGTTTCACTGATTATACTGTATTCATATTTTACTTCATATAGGCTGCATTTTTATCATATTATTTGATATGATTTAGTAAGCTGAATTTTCAGTTGGGAAATGTTCAAAAATTTCTCCCATATAAATTAATGATGAAGATTTCACAGGGATGATCTACTTTTGGATAGTAGGGGTATCTGTATTATCAATATCTTATTCAATGTAAATGTTTGAAAAAGAATGTTAAGTAGACAATATTATATAAATTATATGGATAAGTCACAGATGTTTCTGATATATTAATTACATAACATTATTTTTTCATATTTTGAAAATATTTAAATTAGTACAATCATCAAATTATAATCAAATTATTTAACTTAATTAATAACTTTATGATTAATTAGATAAAATAATTACCTTAGCTTTTTGAATTGCTTTTTCTGGCAAAAACAGTTGAGGAAATGCATACATAGCTCCTGCAACTTCATTGCATTTAATACCTTCAATACTATTAAAAGTGTTTGCTACTAATTTTGCTCTTTCCTTTAAAGAATTCAGAATAGCAGTTTTTTCCTACAATTAGTTAAAGGTTTCAGTTTTATTTCTTTAATATGATTTGTATTAAAGATAAAAATAAATTTTCTATACATATTAATAATTGAGGGGCTTGGTGGAAAAATGGCAACATTAGGAAATTTTTCAGAAAAAGGAGGATTTGTGTTTCAATTCACCAACACTTTATTAACTAACATAAGCCATGGGGCATGCAACTAAACTATGAAAGTTTCTTAGAAGATTGATTGATGATGTACAAATCCAAATCTGTTAATAATTCTTCTGTAGTGTTGTAGGATATGCCATTTTTCCACTAAGCACTTCGATCATATGGCATATGAGAAAAACAATAAGTCGCTGTATTAATTTAATACTAAATCTATACGATTTTTTGAATGGCTGTTTTCTAATGAGAGAAACAGGAATGAATTACCTATATTGCTATGACCTATTATCAAATATAATCAAATTGTATCTACACAATAGTCTATAGGTCACATTAATAGTAATGGCAATAAAAGATTTCTTAAAAACATTTTTTTATGCCATCGTAAATGACAAAATAAAATCATTTTGTTGTGACACGTGGAAATCAATTTTATATGAGATGTCTATAAAAAATTTTAAAGGATAGAAGCATATTGAAATATGAGAACAGTGATATAAGATTCAATCAATAAATTCAAAAGTAAACTGAATGTATATTATTGTGACATTAACGTTATACCAGGCTGGCAATTTTTAACTATCTTTTAAATGAAAAAATCATGTGACTTCCACCAGACAAGAAGTTTGTATATAGTTAATTGGGGTCTCTGCCCATTAAGCTTTCCATACGTGGTCACGATTTTCATCTATCTAACTCTGTTCTCGAGATTTCAAAGGATGGATGACAGTGGAAATATATAGATCTGCAATCTGAAAATTGCAGTCCAATTGAAATGAAAAATAATCTAATTCAAATTTATTAATTAATTTAATTAATGTTTGATAAATAATAATTATACAGTTTTGTATAATATTGAAGTATAATCAATATTAATATTAAAACAAATTAATAATATATAATTTAATAAAAATTTCCAAATCAGTTATAAATATGTCCACAATTTAATATTTATCTTAATTAATTTTTGGAAATGGCTATCAATGATATAATTTATTATTGAAAATGAAAGAAGAGACATGCATTCTTAGAAATTTTAATGAATACAAAATGTATAATGCTAGAAAAAATCAACTATTATAGCTGAATACTTTCACGAAATATTCAATTATTAGATAGTGAGAACAGCCTAAAAATAAATTTATCCAGCCATTCATTTCAATTAATGAACTTTGAAACTTAGTAATTTCCTTCAGGGAAGTTAATTTTCATATGCAAATTCTGTTAATAATATAAGTGCAAAATCTTTAATTAATATAAGAACAGTTTTAGTTAATTACCTTGATAAATAATTCATAGGAAGGTTCTCCCTTTTGAGGAGGATTTACTACACAATCCATAGTTGCCTAAATAAACAATTTTGTAACATAATAAGTAACATTATATTTGGGAGTATAATTATGCATTATTTAAAGTATAACAAAATGAAATTACCTGTCCTAAAACACTGGAGCACAGACGAGCTGATATTAATTTAAGTAACATTGCTTTGACATCAGGATCCAAATTTATTATTTCACAGTACCCACCTCTTAGTCCACATCTAATTTTAAGTAATAATTTATAATTTTAGTTGTTTAACAGGTTATTAAGCTAAAATATATTAATATATTATTTAAAGCTATTTGTTACCTTAACCAATCTTACATATTTTATAATATTCTCCATTAAATTCTGCTATTAATGTATGAACAAAGGCATTAAACACAAATATTAAATATTTGTATGCAATTTCATTTTATAAACAACCTCAAAAATTAAAGATATTCTAATTATCTGCAAAACATATGAAAAAGAACTATGGACATCTATGTTGTAGGTTTGTGTCCCCAATAAAGGTTAATATAACTTTTCTTCTTAGGATTATATACAGGAAAACTGCATTATAATGCTTATAATAAATTCTGACTATCATAGTTCTAAACTGAAAATGTCATTCCTAATGCCATTAAATATGATTTCTCTGTAGAAAGCATTTGATTAACATTCATAAGATTTCCATTTGCAAGATACATTTATAAACTGAGAATGCTGCAGCAATGCATTGATTATTAAACATTTTGGGAAGAATAGTAAAACACATAAAATTTATTATTATTTATTATAATGGAAAACCCCATAAACAATACACATAGAGAATGTGTACTAGGTCTTTAAGAACTATCATTTATAATTGAAATAAAGTTTATTATAGATATAATGGTTTTTCAAATAGTTTAAATATTAAAATTTTCTACAAAATTACCAAATAATAATTTCATTAGTTATTCTTCTCAAACAAATTTTATTAAAATATGGACATGTTTCAATTAGTGGATTATTATATTATATGAGAATCTGGAGTTAAGGGATTTATTTTAACAAAATAAAATAATAGATAATTAAAAATTATTTTGATTGTTAGAAAAATTTTCTAATTAAGTAAAAAGGGGAACTTTCTTTTAGTGATGAAGAGAGAACAGTTTGCACTCAAACTATCAGTTTCAGAGGAATTAATATCTCATTCTTCTATCCACAAGACCACCTGATTTCCGCCATGCATCAGAAGCATGGTGTGATTTTCCAACAATGCTATTGGATGGAATACAGCATAAAAGGTGAGAGGCCACCTTCCAAATTGTTCTTGTATTGGCGTTTTTGTTTTTGACACCCTTGTTGTGGCATTCTTCCCTGATGCTTTAGCCAATGTTCTCATCCTTCTCCTAGTTCATCAGCTCTACTCATCTAAAGGATTCTCCATCATAGGTAATATAATTATGTTATGTAAACTCTCTCTTGCCAGGATAGATTTAATGTATTAGGATTAAAGATCCTCCTTTGTATAATTGTTGAACCCAATCATGTTATTCTTGTATATTTTAAGATATTTCATTTATGTATAATCCCATATGATAAATATAGTTAGGCATTAAATCCAACTTATTAGAATATAACTCCATCGTTGGCCCACATAATGCATGTATCCCATGTTATTTAATATTTAAAGTAAACCTTCCTAAAATTTCAATTATTTCTCTTTCGAGTGGCTAAATATGTTTAGAAACAATTTATTTGCAAGTTAGAACACAAAATTGTTATATCCTACCTAACTGTTGTCTGGAATCTTTACGATAATTGGTGAGAGTTGAAAGGTATTTGTGTACTTATCAACTTTCTATGGTCATCCTCAGTGAGACAGAAGGTATATTGGAACAGATTCCATTTCCACAATATCAAATATGGTAATATCCACTTATTGTTTTCAGTATTGGGGACTCTCAAAGTGATTACAATAAGCAGTATTTACAATAAGCAGGTTTTGTGTAGGTTATGCAAATTGAATGCACATCAATTACAATATTTAATTATTCAAAGAAGAAATAATATAATATATTAAAAAATTTCAAATAAATAAAATAATGTATGAAGGAAAATTAAAAATTCTTTTCCAACTGTGTTTTTCTTGAAATATGGCTGTTATTTCAGAATTTGAAAAATAGGGTATGAACTATGCTTTAAATGTCTATTTTTCCACATGGTTTCTAAGACAATTCTATAAGAGTGGTATTCAAGTGTTCAGATATCACTTCATAGAATATGTCTGACTACTTATGTATCATCAAAATAAAAGACAATATATACGTAGATGTATATAGTGTGTCTTTTATTTTGACGATCCAGTTCCCTAGATTGCATATTGATAATAATTAGATTTGCAGAATTGGCCTATGATATCTGGATACTGAAATTCATAATGGCTTAAGTTGAGTTTTGATCACCCCTGAAAATTGCTGAAGTGCAGTGAATCCCAAACCAAGATCCCTCAGGGAAGTATGCTTTATATCTCAGCTGGTAATATATACTTTTAATAAGAACCTTCCAATGAGTATCAAAATCCATATATACTTGTTATTAAGAGTGAGGTTTATTCACAAATAATGTGGTGCTCTATTCAGATGCAATCACACAAGGAGTAAGGTTACTAACTGTTTTAGAAGTTTTTATTGCTGTCAATTTCTCAAAGATGCATTTCTGGTCGAGCTCCTCAACAGTTTAAAATGCTGGTCTGGAAATTCTGTCAAACTGATGAGAAGCTCAGCCCAAAATGCAACTTTAAGAAACTGACAGTGATAAAAACTTCTAAAACAGTTAGTAGCTTTATTCCTTGTGTGATTGCATCCAAATGGACTGCCACATTATTTTTAATGGGTTGTTTAATAATTTGAATTGCATAAATTAAAAACAAGGATTATTTTAAAAAATTTTCATGACAAAATAAAATTATAGTTTCACTTATAGTCCCTGCAAAATAATTAACATTTTAACATGTTAAACTAGTTTAAACATTAATTATCATCAGGAGTATATGGCTTGCATGAAAGTTGAATTATTCATTTTATTACTTTTGTAAGTTCAGACCAATGAAAATTGCAAACTTTTTGATTAAAAAAAATATAAAAACAAAACACACAAGACTGATCATTATTTGTAGAGAATGTTTAACAGATTAGAAATGTTTGTTGGATTCACGATTCTTTAAATAACTACACCTAAGTTACACCATATATTAAGCATGAACATCTAATCCTACTGGCAAATAAAGCAATGATTTTAAGTATGTTAACTGTTGTGGAGATAGTACTAACATTACCAGTGTTTAATCCTATTATCCATAAACTTTTTTGTCTAAAAGTGTGAGTGGTAAATCTGCATATTCAAAATCTCAGTGTGCAGCCAGCAAACTGCAAGCATCTTTTTTGGTGCTCAATACACCAGCAAATAAGATGGCAGCCACCATGAGGCTTGTAAGAGCTCTATTTTGCATTGACAATTTTGAATTTACAGTAATTTATTTGTTGATGAATAAACCCAGAATAAATTAATACTCAGTTAGTATGTTAATAGAATATTTTAATATACTAGTATATTTACCTAAGATATCACACTTTAATAACTAAAAAAATTGTGATCTTTTGATTGATTTAATTATTTAAAACTCCTATGGAAATTTTAAATATCTTTATCTCTATTTCTCTTTTTCATTAATCTATTCTAATTAAAGAAGTTCAAAAATCATTTAACATAACATGGAAGTCCACATCATTTGCCATTTTTATTGTTTTTCTCCCCTGAAATATCCGGCAGTTGCATCACTTCCAGCAGCATCTCGCTGGATTGATGCTGAGATTTTGAATATGCAGAATGTAAAAATAATTCATTGCTTTACTAACTCTTCTTTTATTCACCAAACTATAAACCACTCACATATCCTAGGTTCAGAACAGGAAATGTTTTATTAACTTCATCATATTTCTGACATTAATGATAGCAATATGCATTTCAGGTTTTCTTGGAAGAGTTCATCATAGGTTTTATGAAAAAGTTAATATTGTTCTAAGCATGAGGTTCATGACAGATTTATAGCTTGATAAATAAAAAGACAAGTTTCAGTCATTGTCAGATAATTTATATATAATGAAAGGACTAACATTGATCATTCATCACATGATTTTTTTAAAAATCTATTATTAAATCAAAATGTTCCTTCAAACAGTAGAAATAAATCATTGTCTCATGAACAGATAGTTGAAGATACAAATTCCTGGCAATTGATATTGTCAAGTACATGCAAGTGATATTTGGTTTTTAAAACGTAGAATGTTTTTAGAATAAATCATAGAATTGAAATATGGCCAAGTGAAAGAGTTGATAAAAAGAATGTTTGAAGAAAAGTTCATTTAAGAATAGAGATTTTGTCATTTGCATGCTAACTTCAGAAAGTTGGATTGATTAAACTTTAAATCACCTATCAATTTTGGAAAAGTTGAAGAAATGGTCAAGCATTCAATTTAGGCATAGAAAATTGTTTCTGAAATTCAAGAAGAGTCAAAACTTAGTCATGTCTTTAATTAAAGTTATGATTTGACATAATATTGTGCACCTAATGTAAAACTGTTTTTATTTCTGGAGAGATGTCAGGATAACAACGTTAACTGTTCATATTCAAAGAGTGTACATAAATTGCAAATAAACTTTTGTTTATTCTTCATACATAAACTGGAGTATGAGTTTGAATGAACCTGGGAATTCTGCAAAATTGAATGAATAATGGTAATGAGGAACAAAAAATTGCTTATGTATGAAACTAACATAATTCCACAATCAACAGTAGGTTAGATTTTTTTCCAAGATTTTGTAGTAATCACAAAATGTGTTTGATCTAGGAAAGTGCCTGTCTATACATTACAATTTTTTCATTGATAAATAGTTTTATATCCTTTGCATGGTCCTGGATAGTCAACATTTCACAAAACTTGAAGCATTTCAGAATGCTGTTCATCCAACAAAATTACTTCATCAGCACTTGAGAAATAAGGAGCAAACTTACAGAAAAAAAAGGAGTTTGGAAACAAATTGATAAATTGTTTTGCAAAAATAAAAAAATTATTATATCTTGACTTTAATATCCATGTATATGTATATTTTTACATTGTTTAAAACTGATTTCAAATCAGTACTTACCTCATCAGCCAAAATGAAAAGTTTTTCTTCATATGCAAATTTTATAATTTTTTCAATATTCTCTCTTGTTAAAACTGAACCTATTATTATGAAAAGAATGAGTGAGTAAATTAATTTTTATAATTACTGCAGAAATTACTAAAATTAATCGTTTATTGCTGCAACTAAATATTATTTATTACTTAAATTAACCTATTATGTTTTTTATTTTAAACAGCTTATATATGTTAATATATCATTATACACTGCTGTCCAAAATTAAAGCAACAAACAAAACTTGTGTAAAAAATCAAAACCATTAAACAGGAGTAGCTGAAATGTATGTCATATGTAAATAAGCAAAGTGCCCTCCTATTACACAAGTGTCATGCAAATAATGGCAGTGCACCAAATGCATTATGTCATAGTGAAATTGTTTCTGACAAGCAATCATCTGCTAGGACCACTAACAGTTAGGAAGTGTTCCTGATACATTTGTTGCTTATTAGACATGTTTCAGAGAAGGCATTTGACTGATTCATCGCATTGAAGGACCATTCATTTCTCCTTTTCTTCCATGTACATTTGTGTATATTGCTTTAATCTTGACATAAGTGTAGATACTAGTTAGTATAAAGGCATTGTGAAAATTAAAAATATATTTTATCATACAGGATGATTACAGTTAAAATACTCATATATGAAAACAGTGTTGAAATAACAAATCTTGTTTGTTGTTTCAGAATGCGGAAGGGATTTCTATAGGGAAAAAATTTAGTTTCAAAATTTACTAATACAGGACTTATGATTCTGACAGCAGAATTTGCTCATAGAATAAATACATGTTTTTGCAATTCAGTGAGCCAATTGTCTCATTACTTTTTGTTGATTCTTTCACAGATAAGCAAATTTTAGCTTTGTGAATATGCAAAATAACTTGTATATAGCACTTCTATTGTAATTAGAACAACACATTAAAAAATGTAGTAATAAAAATAGTAATAATATAAAGTAAATGCCCATTTTACAACTAGTTGCTTTACAAGTATCTAAAGATATGACTGTATGAAATAAATGGCATTAAATGTGTTTTATAATCATCATTTTCAATATATGCTGATTGTTAAAATTGAGATTTTGCTCTTGAAATGTAATTTTATGACCAGAGTTTATAGTATATAAGATGATTTGAATAATGATAGTTTTCCTGGAACCAATTAGTTCATAAAAATGGAGCTTTACTGTATTTAGACAATGCTATCAACTTTTACATGTAATAAATTTATGTCATTCATACTGTTTTAAAAATTTTAATTATTACCAATTAATTTAAATTTTTGACTAAGACCAAAAATTAAATAATTTTATAATCATGACTGATATTTTAAATATTCTTTAAATATGTTAATTTGCTAAATTCTTTTATCAGATAACTAAAAAAGTTTATGCAGTTTTTCTAAGACAAAACCAAAACATCATAAAAATAAACACCATCACAATTAAGAAGTCTTTCCAATCAGAAACAAATTTATAAATTTCACTTTTATAAAATTGTGTCTTTAAAAGTAAAATTCTCATTTAACTCCTTTTCTCTTCATTTTGAAATTGCTAGTTTTGAATATAATTGCCAAGTGACAAGAAAATGTGAAAATCGTATGGTAATAGGTCTAGTGAATAGGGTGGGTGGGGTAGAATTTCCCAAGAATGGCTGTGAAGCTTTTCCTGGGTCACTCTTGAAGTGTGAGAAACAACAATACCTTTGCAATTAATCAGCACCAGTATTTTTGGAAAAGCTTCTTATGCCTTCATTGCAGCTGAGAAGAGTAAACTTTCCTTGCGATTATTTGGTTTGATGATAAGAGCTCATAACAAACAATACCTGTTATAGTCCATCAAACAACGAAATCTGTTGATGAAGTGCAGATTTTGATACAGCAGGCACAAATTTCCTGGAAGGTAGCTGATGATAATGTGAGATCCAGGATTTTAAGGATATATTAATACGTTTTCAAGAAAATTTTTATATAACATTCAAGAAAAATTTTATATAACAACTGCTGATCACATGATCAGTTCCCAGGCTAAATGCATAAAAAGACAACAGACTGAAAGTTCTAGGCATTGTCATAAGGAAGCCCCATAGAGGATACATTAGTGCAAAAGGAAGAGCAAGAAGGAGCTCTATATGCTGCCACCTCCATAAAATGGACCTGATCCAGTCCCCGGAGAAGACACTCACCATTCCCTCAACATAGAATCCTCCTCAAGACTATAGAATGATGTCATATCCTCAATGAATGAAGATTTGAGGTATTTTGGATAGATAAATGTAAACTCTCTCTCCATGTTTGTGAACTTAGGCATACAACTTGCGGCATAGGTATTTGAATAGTCACAACTTTGTATGATTTTATATTTAATCACATTTAACCATTTACTGTATAATACCTAAGTATATCTTAGATTTAGATTATATTAAACTTTATTTGTTAAGTTTAAACCTGACTCCCTGTCTTAATTGAGCTAAGGACGTCTATCGACTTACCCATTGCAACCTCCCCACTCAACTATTTGCCCTCCTAACCATACAACGATAACGGCATGGGTTGGTAAGACCAACCCATGCCAAATAAGTGGCATTTAGGGAACAGCCCCTTTTGCCCCCGACTTCTCACAATAAGATCACTTAGCGTTAGTACATAATTCATTTTTCATCACACATCATTACTCTGTCCAAAAGCAGCTTGTTCTTATGATGAAAAAGAAGAGATAAACAAATTGAAAATCTATAGGATTTATTTTTTGCTGAGAGTTCATATGGAATCCATTTGTTTAATTTGTACATTTTTTCCAGTTGATACAAGTGCAGATAAATGGTTTTTGTCATTCTCATCAAATCTTTATGCAAGCTGTCTATATGTTTGAATCAAATTTGGCTCAATAGCATTCATTAATTCATTGTTATCAATGATTGTTTGCCATTCTTCATGGAGAGTATTTTCAAAAGAGACATCCTCTGATACAAATTTTCTATTCCATTTCTGGGCTAGACAATCACTAACTATACTTCTCTGAATGCTATGCATATCTTTCTGCATTTGTCTCAAGTTTAAATTTATCTCAAGTTTAAATTTATAAAGTATTTATAAAGATCATTTGTCTCAAGTTTAAATTTATAAAGTAAGCATGCTCAGAAAACTGTACAGTCGACTCCCCTATAACATGGGTTCTTATAGTTCGGATTCCTATATCGTGGCAAAAAAATTGTGATAGTATTCGTACAAACATGGTAAAATGTCATCACCAACTCATGTCGCAACAGGATTGGTCGAATCTAGATCAATAGCGGATATTGCACAAAACGCTGAGTTTAAATGAGCAGTGGACCTACTAAAAACCATTTATTATTTAACGTCCATAAAAATTATATTTATATTAATGATGTCTCCAAAGTTCAGTGAATTTTTTGCAAAAAAAATAATTTATCAGGAAGCACAAGAGTGCCATTCAATGACAAGCTCCATGACAAAAACAAGCTTAAGCAATGGCGTAGTCGAACGGTGCAAGCTCGGTAAGCAATCCTACAATTTTTTGTTTATAGCATAGTTTATATGGATTATTCCCAAAAAATTATATGTATTTTGGAAATATTGAGTCGAATTAGTCTAGAATCGATTAATTTTATTGAAGAAACCTTTCAAACAGCCGTAGGCTGTAAACTGCATATGTGCCGGGCTGTGATTGGCTGGACTCGTAGAAAATGGATTCATAAAAACTGGAACGTATCTACCGTGTTATAGGGGGAGGGTCGACTGTATTTTGACATCTTTTTTCACATTTACTATAAACAAATTGCTGTGAAAGTCTAAATTTAGAATGGCAATAACAATAACATGCAATCTACAAGGAATACCACATAATTAAGGTTAAAACTAGTAACTTTATAAAAGTGCATGAAATTTTTTGGTTACCCAATAAAAATAAAATACTGTATTAATTTATATATCTTACAGTAAGATGTATTATATAATATTGCAAACTTCAAATTAAATAAACTACAATTATCTTTTATCATCAATATGGCAAAATACAAAAGAAAGTATTTTTTCTTACCTGTTGGGTTTCCTGGATTAATTACTACTATTGCTCGTGGTTCACAAGTTTCTTTTGCTTTAGAAATTGCATTTTTCAATTCATCAATACTCAATGCCCATTCATTATCTTCATCCAAATAATAACCAATCTATAATATAAGTACTGAAATTTAAATCTTGAAAACTTAAAATATTTATTATTCTGAAAAACGACTTCTTTATTTATTTTAAATATTTAAGTATATATTTTTGAAAAGTAAATCAAAAGTGAAAATTTAACAACATATCATCTTATATTTGTATTCATTGTATTGCATATATTCTTTTTAAAATACTTCTTATTAGTTATTAAAATTTCTTTATAAAAAACAAAAAATTTTATTGAAATTTATTTATTGCGTATTCTGAAACTGTGTCTTCTTTTTTCTGTTTTTACTGTCACAACTAGGTGCATAGACAGACACTGGGCATTTCTGACATCAATCTTTATTCGGGAATATCTTGCTGGCCGAGACGCGTTTCGGGCATAAGCCTCTCTTCTGTCGGCTACATAATAAAACACGAATATGAATTTCTCATAGTATATATTTTTAACTGTAAATAAGTAATTTTAAGCAAGATGTATACCAATTAACACTCCTTACAAGATATCACAAAAGAAATGGTACATTGTAACCGATTATAATATAAAACAATATGTACTATGTTCAAGTTTTATTATGTAGCTGACAGAAGAGGGGCTTATGCCCAAAACGCGTCTTGGCCAACAAGATATTCCTGAATAAAGATTGATGTCAGAAATGCCCAGTGTTTGTCTATGCACCTAGTTGTGACAGTAAAAACAAAAATTTATTTAGTTAAAATCAAACTGAATTAAAAATTAATTTTCATATGAAAAAATCATATTACCATAGAATCAAATATTTAAAATGGCAAATTACAATCGCAATGTTATTCTAGAAACTGCCAAACAAGTAATTGTAGAAAATAAAAAAAATAGTTTCTAGTATACATCATAAATGAACAAGTTGGTTAGAGCATTTCATAAATGTAAATAAATTTATGAAGTTAACTAAAATTACTCCAAATGTCGGCTTATACACAATTATGAAATTGTATGCAAACATAAATAGTATATACTAAATTATAATTTATCATACACACAAATGATTTTATTCAAAACTACAAAAAGAAAAAATAATGAGTAACGTAAATATAATAAAAATTATTTATTATATTAGAATTACTTATGCAAACAACTCTCAACAATATAAACAAACTACTAATATTCAAGAAATCAATGTTGTCAAATTGATAAATATTTCAATATTCTAAAATGGTTAGCAGCTTATTTTATGTGAAATAATTTCTACATTTTATAAGATAATTTTTTTAAGAATCTATAAAATATAAGAAGTTATATATGCATTTAATTAAATAATTAATTTACGTGTACATGAAAAAAATTTGTTGAAGATTTGATTTACTCTATTGATACTCTATTGATATTTATTCTATTGGAAAAGCATTTGTACTACAGAGTATAATTCACTCTTTAGAGACTGCATTTACATGAATTTACTTTATACTTTAGTATCATAATTAAAAATTATTTATCATTATTTAAAAGATTTCCTATTATTAAACATTTTTTCCCCATATTCTAACAAATTTCCAACAAATAAATAAACATACAACAATTCAATTGGTATTGATATTGCCAAGCAATCTATTGGATTATATATTGGGCTATATCAGGTTATATTATATCTAATAATTAGATATAAAGCAATTTGGCCAGAGGTACACACTAGGCTGTTATGGTAAATTTAATAAATCTCATTATTAAATTAATTTATTTTTAATTATTGCATTTTACTACTGGGAAAGAGATGAGTCTAACTGTTCCATCTCTTTCTCAGTAGTAAAATGCATGTAGCCTAATTGCTTTATATCTAATTATTAATTAGCCTTAATATAGCCTGATAAATAAACATTGGATCAGTAGTGATTCATTGAAAATCTATTAGAATATGAAAGTAACAAAAATATCATTATACTTAATTTATTTTCAGGAGAATTTATAATATTGTTGCTCCAGTCAATTCCAGTACCACATTATGACACTTAATTCATTGAGTTTGCTATAAGAACTAATAAACCCAAAGCAATGCCTTCCTTGTCAAATACCTTTATTTAAAATTGCAATTTAGTATCCATATTGATGGAAATCTATGGCTATTGAATAGCAGTTTATGAAATAAAGGTGTTTTACAAGGAAAGCATTGTTTTGGATTAATTAGTTCTTACAGGAAATCAGTTAATATCATTGTTGTATTTAATCTAAGAAAATTCCTTTGTGAATAGGCCTACATAAGAATTTACTAGAAAATACATTACTAATCTAGCTTTGCTATTACATTTATTTACATATTTAATGTCCATAGCTGTTTTTTTTAGTTTTTTCTAAAAATAAAAAGAAAAAATATTATTTTCATTCACACACAACTTTTAGAAAATCAATTGTTTACTGAAAATATCTCATCTGTAAAATAAATGTATTTTTCATATATAAAAATAAGTTTAAATTATGTTAAAATAAACTTACTTGCTCCATATTATATTCTGCTAATGTTGCTGAATATAATGGATACTGAGGAATAGGAGTCATAACACCTGGTAATTTATCACTTACAGAATAATTCAATAAGCTGAGGACAGACTATTAAAAAAAATAAATCTATTTAACTTTATCAAAATTTCTCATTTTACTTTAAAATCATTTATTATATAAATTGAATATATTAAATGAATGTAAGTCCTACTTTTATGGCTTCACTAGCACCAGTAGATAAAATAATGTTGTTATAGTCTGATGGAATGCCATCACGTCGTTCAATATACTGAGCAACGTGTTTTTTTATAATTTCAACACCTGCACTGTCACTATAAGAACCTGAAATTTATTTATATATATTAATACATTATATTATTATATATCAGAATGAAAATTTCCAGAATCAATGAAGCTTTTGATNATTTAATTATTTAAAACTCCTATGGAAATTTTAAATATCTTTATCTCTATTTCTCTTTTTCATTAATCTATTCTAATTAAAGAAGTTCAAAAATCATTTAACATAACATGGAAGTCCACATCATTTGCCATTTTTATTGTTTTTCTCCCCTGAAATATCCGGCAGTTGCATCACTTCCAGCAGCATCTCGCTGGATTGATGCTGAGATTTTGAATATGCAGAATGTAAAAATAATTCATTGCTTTACTAACTCTTCTTTTATTCACCAAACTATAAACCACTCACATATCCTAGGTTCAGAACAGGAAATGTTTTATTAACTTCATCATATTTCTGACATTAATGATAGCAATATGCATTTCAGGTTTTCTTGGAAGAGTTCATCATAGGTTTTATGAAAAAGTTAATATTGTTCTAAGCATGAGGTTCATGACAGATTTATAGCTTGATAAATAAAAAGACAAGTTTCAGTCATTGTCAGATAATTTATATATAATGAAAGGACTAACATTGATCATTCATCACATGATTTTTTTAAAAATCTATTATTAAATCAAAATGTTCCTTCAAACAGTAGAAATAAATCATTGTCTCATGAACAGATAGTTGAAGATACAAATTCCTGGCAATTGATATTGTCAAGTACATGCAAGTGATATTTGATTTTTAAAACGTAGAATGTTTTTAGAATAAATCATAGAATTGAAATATGGCCAAGTGAAAGAGTTGATAAAAAGAATGTTTGAAGAAAAGTTCATTTAAGAATAGAGATTTTGTCATTTGCATGCTAACTTCAGAAAGTTGGATTGATTAAACTTTAAATCACCTATCAATTTTGGAAAAGTTGAAGAAATGGTCAAGCATTCAATTTAGGCATAGAAAATTGTTTCTGAAATTCAAGAAGAGTCAAAACTTAGTCATGTCTTTAATTAAAGTTATGATTTGACATAATATTGTGCACCTAATGTAAAACTGTTTTTATTTCTGGAGAGATGTCAGGATAACAACGTTAACTGTTCATATTCAAAGAGTGTACATAAATTGCAAATAAACTTTTGTTTATTCTTCATACATAAACTGGAGTATGAGTTTGAATGAACCTGGGAATTCTGCAAAATTGAATGAATAATGGTAATGAGGAACAAAAAATTGCTTATGTATGAAACTAACATAATTCCACAATCAACAGTAGGTTAGATTTTTTTCCAAGATTTTGTAGTAATCACAAAATGTGTTTGATCTAGGAAAGTGCCTGTCTATACATTACAATTTTTTCATTGATAAATAGTTTTATATCCTTTGCATGGTCCTGGATAGTCAACATTTCACAAAACTTGAAGCATTTCAGAATGCTGTTCATCCAACAAAATTACTTCATCAGCACTTGAGAAATAAGGAGCAAACTTACAGAAAAAAAAGGAGTTTGGAAACAAATTGATAAATTGTTTTGCAAAAATAAAAAAATTATTATATCTTGACTTTAATATCCATGTATATGTATATTTTTACATTGTTTAAAACTGATTTCAAATCAGTACTTACCTCATCAGCCAAAATGAAAAGTTTTTCTTCATATGCAAATTTTATAATTTTTTCAATATTCTCTCTTGTTAAAACTGAACCTATTATTATGAAAAGAATGAGTGAGTAAATTAATTTTTATAATTACTGCAGAAATTACTAAAATTAATCGTTTATTGCTGCAACTAAATATTATTTATTACTTAAATTAACCTATTATGTTTTTTATTTTAAACAGCTTATATATGTTAATATATCATTATACACTGCTGTCCAAAATTAAAGCAACAAACAAAACTTGTGTAAAAAATCAAAACCATTAAACAGGAGTAGCTGAAATGTATGTCATATGTAAATAAGCAAAGTGCCCTCCTATTACACAAGTGTCATGCAAATAATGGCAGTGCACCAAATGCATTATGTCATAGTGAAATTGTTTCTGACAAGCAATCATCTGCTAGGACCACTAACAGTTAGGAAGTGTTCCTGATACATTTGTTGCTTATTAGACATGTTTCAGAGAAGGCATTTGACTGATTCATCGCATTGAAGGACCATTCATTTCTCCTTTTCTTCCATGTACATTTGTGTATATTGCTTTAATCTTGACATAAGTGTAGATACTAGTTAGTATAAAGGCATTGTGAAAATTAAAAATATATTTTATCATACAGGATGATTACAGTTAAAATACTCATATATGAAAACAGTGTTGAAATAACAAATCTTGTTTGTTGTTTCAGAATGCGGAAGGGATTTCTATAGGGAAAAAATTTAGTTTCAAAATTTACTAATACAGGACTTATGATTCTGACAGCAGAATTTGCTCATAGAATAAATACATGTTTTTGCAATTCAGTGAGCCAATTGTCTCATTACTTTTTGTTGATTCTTTCACAGATAAGCAAATTTTAGCTTTGTGAATATGCAAAATAACTTGTATATAGCACTTCTATTGTAATTAGAACAACACATTAAAAAATGTAGTAATAAAAATAGTAATAATATAAAGTAAATGCCCATTTTACAACTAGTTGCTTTACAAGTATCTAAAGATATGACTGTATGAAATAAATGGCATTAAATGTGTTTTATAATCATCATTTTCAATATATGCTGATTGTTAAAATTGAGATTTTGCTCTTGAAATGTAATTTTATGACCAGAGTTTATAGTATATAAGATGATTTGAATAATGATAGTTTTCCTGGAACCAATTAGTTCATAAAAATGGAGCTTTACTGTATTTAGACAATGCTATCAACTTTTACATGTAATAAATTTATGTCATTCATACTGTTTTAAAAATTTTAATTATTACCAATTAATTTAAATTTTTGACTAAGACCAAAAATTAAATAATTTTATAATCATGACTGATATTTTAAATATTCTTTAAATATGTTAATTTGCTAAATTCTTTTATCAGATAACTAAAAAAGTTTATGCAGTTTTTCTAAGACAAAACCAAAACATCATAAAAATAAACACCATCACAATTAAGAAGTCTTTCCAATCAGAAACAAATTTATAAATTTCACTTTTATAAAATTGTGTCTTTAAAAGTAAAATTCTCATTTAACTCCTTTTCTCTTCATTTTGAAATTGCTAGTTTTGAATATAATTGCCAAGTGACAAGAAAATGTGAAAATCGTATGGTAATAGGTCTAGTGAATAGGGTGGGTGGGGTAGAATTTCCCAAGAATGGCTGTGAAGCTTTTCCTGGGTCACTCTTGAAGTGTGAGAAACAACAATACCTTTGCAATTAATCAGCACCAGTATTTTTGGAAAAGCTTCTTATGCCTTCATTGCAGCTGAGAAGAGTAAACTTTCCTTGCGATTATTTGGTTTGAGGATAAGAGCTCATAACAAACAATACCTGTTATAGTCCATCAAACAACGAAATCTGTTGATGAAGTGCAGATTTTGATACAGCAGGCACAAATTTCCTGGAAGGTAGCTGATGATAATGTGAGATCCAGGATTTTAAGGATATATTAATACGTTTTCAAGAAAATTTTTATATAACATTCAAGAAAAATTTTATATAACAACTGCTGATCACATGATCAGTTCCCAGGCTAAATGCATAAAAAGACAACAGACTGAAAGTTCTAGGCATTGTCATAAGGAAGCCCCATAGAGGATACATTAGTGCAAAAGGAAGAGCAAGAAGGAGCTCTATATGCTGCCACCTCCATAAAATGGACCTGATCCAGTCCCCGGAGAAGACACTCACCATTCCCTCAACAAAGAATCCTCCTCAAGACTATAGAATGATGTCATATCCTCAATGAATGAAGATTTGAGGTATTTTGGATAGATAAATGTAAACTCTCTCTCCATGTTTGTGAACTTAGGCATACAACTTGCGGCATAGGTATTTGAATAGTCACAACTTTGTATGATTTTATATTTAATCACATTTAACCATTTACTGTATAATACCTAAGTATATCTTAGATTTAGATTATATTAAACTTTATTTGTTAAGTTTAAACCTGACTCCCTGTCTTAATTGAGCTAAGGACGTCTATCGACTTACCCATTGCAACCTCCCCACTCAACTATTTGCCCTCCTAACCATACAACGATAACGGCATGGGTTGGTAAGACCAACCCATGCCAAATAAGTGGCATTTAGGGAACAGCCCCTTTTGCCCCCGACTTCTCACAATAAGATCACTTAGCGTTAGTACATAATTCATTTTTCATCACACATCATTACTCTGTCCAAAAGCAGCTTGTTCTTATGATGAAAAAGAAGAGATAAACAAATTGAAAATCTATAGGATTTATTTTTTGCTGAGAGTTCATATGGAATCCATTTGTTTAATTTGTACATTTTTTCCAGTTGATACAAGTGCAGATAAATGGTTTTTGTCATTCTCATCAAATCTTTATGCAAGCTGTCTATATGTTTGAATCAAATTTGGCTCAATAGCATTCATTAATTCATTGTTATCAATGATTGTTTGCCATTCTTCATGGAGAGTATTTTCAAAAGAGACATCCTCTGATACAAATTTTCTATTCCATTTCTGGGCTAGACAATCACTAACTATACTTCTCTGAATGCTATGCATATCTTTCTGCATTTGTCTCAAGTTTAAATTTATCTCAAGTTTAAATTTATAAAGTATTTATAAAGATCATTTGTCTCAAGTTTAAATTTATAAAGTAAGCATGCTCAGAAAACTGTACAGTCGACTCCCCTATAACATGGGTTCTTATAGTTCGGATTCCTATATCGTGGCAAAAAAATTGTGATAGTATTCGTACAAACATGGTAAAATGTCATCACCAACTCATGTCGCAACAGGATTGGTCGAATCTAGATCAATAGCGGATATTGCACAAAACGCTGAGTTTAAATGAGCAGTGGACCTACTAAAAACCATTTATTATTTAACGTCCATAAAAATTATATTTATATTAATGATGTCTCCAAAGTTCAGTGAATTTTTTGCAAAAAAAATAATTTATCAGGAAGCACAAGAGTGCCATTCAATGACAAGCTCCATGACAAAAACAAGCTTAAGCAATGGCGTAGTCGAACGGTGCAAGCTCGGTAAGCAATCCTACAATTTTTTGTTTATAGCATAGTTTATATGGATTATTCCCAAAAAATTATATGTATTTTGGAAATATTGAGTCGAATTAGTCTAGAATCGATTAATTTTATTGAAGAAACCTTTCAAACAGCCGTAGGCTGTAAACTGCATATGTGCCGGGCTGTGATTGGCTGGACTCGTAGAAAATGGATTCATAAAAACTGGAACGTATCTACCGTGTTATAGGGGGAGGGTCGACTGTATTTTGACATCTTTTTTCACATTTACTATAAACAAATTGCTGTGAAAGTCTAAATTTAGAATGGCAATAACAATAACATGCAATCTACAAGGAATACCACATAATTAAGGTTAAAACTAGTAACTTTATAAAAGTGCATGAAATTTTTTGGTTACCCAATAAAAATAAAATACTGTATTAATTTATATATCTTACAGTAAGATGTATTATATAATATTGCAAACTTCAAATTAAATAAACTACAATTATCTTTTATCATCAATATGGCAAAATACAAAAGAAAGTATTTTTTCTTACCTGTTGGGTTTCCTGGATTAATTACTACTATTGCTCGTGGTTCACAAGTTTCTTTTGCTTTAGAAATTGCATTTTTCAATTCATCAATACTCAATGCCCATTCATTATCTTCATCCAAATAATAACCAATCTATAATATAAGTACTGAAATTTAAATCTTGAAAACTTAAAATATTTATTATTCTGAAAAACGACTTCTTTATTTATTTTAAATATTTAAGTATATATTTTTGAAAAGTAAATCAAAAGTGAAAATTTAACAACATATCATCTTATATTTGTATTCATTGTATTGCATATATTCTTTTTAAAATACTTCTTATTAGTTATTAAAATTTCTTTATAAAAAACAAAAAATTTTATTGAAATTTATTTATTGCGTATTCTGAAACTGTGTCTTCTTTTTTCTGTTTTTACTGTCACAACTAGGTGCATAGACAGACACTGGGCATTTCTGACATCAATCTTTATTCGGGAATATCTTGCTGGCCGAGACGCGTTTCGGGCATAAGCCTCTCTTCTGTCGGCTACATAATAAAACACGAATATGAATTTCTCATAGTATATATTTTTAACTGTAAATAAGTAATTTTAAGCAAGATGTATACCAATTAACACTCCTTACAAGATATCACAAAAGAAATGGTACATTGTAACCGATTATAATATAAAACAATATGTACTATGTTCAAGTTTTATTATGTAGCTGACAGAAGAGGGGCTTATGCCCAAAACGCGTCTTGGCCAACAAGATATTCCTGAATAAAGATTGATGTCAGAAATGCCCAGTGTTTGTCTATGCACCTAGTTGTGACAGTAAAAACAAAAATTTATTTAGTTAAAATCAAACTGAATTAAAAATTAATTTTCATATGAAAAAATCATATTACCATAGAATCAAATATTTAAAATGGCAAATTACAATCGCAATGTTATTCTAGAAACTGCCAAACAAGTAATTGTAGAAAATAAAAAAAATAGTTTCTAGTATACATCATAAATGAACAAGTTGGTTAGAGCATTTCATAAATGTAAATAAATTTATGAAGTTAACTAAAATTACTCCAAATGTCGGCTTATACACAATTATGAAATTGTATGCAAACATAAATAGTATATACTAAATTATAATTTATCATACACACAAATGATTTTATTCAAAACTACAAAAAGAAAAAATAATGAGTAACGTAAATATAATAAAAATTATTTATTATATTAGAATTACTTATGCAAACAACTCTCAACAATATAAACAAACTACTAATATTCAAGAAATCAATGTTGTCAAATTGATAAATATTTCAATATTCTAAAATGGTTAGCAGCTTATTTTATGTGAAATAATTTCTACATTTTATAAGATAATTTTTTTAAGAATCTATAAAATATAAGAAGTTATATATGCATTTAATTAAATAATTAATTTACGTGTACATGAAAAAAATTTGTTGAAGATTTGATTTACTCTATTGATACTCTATTGATATTTATTCTATTGGAAAAGCATTTGTACTACAGAGTATAATTCACTCTTTAGAGACTGCATTTACATGAATTTACTTTATACTTTAGTATCATAATTAAAAATTATTTATCATTATTTAAAAGATTTCCTATTATTAAACATTTTTTCCCCATATTCTAACAAATTTCCAACAAATAAATAAACATACAACAATTCAATTGGTATTGATATTGCCAAGCAATCTATTGGATTATATATTGGGCTATATCAGGTTATATTATATCTAATAATTAGATATAAAGCAATTTGGCCAGAGGTACACACTAGGCTGTTATGGTAAATTTAATAAATCTCATTATTAAATTAATTTATTTTTAATTATTGCATTTTACTACTGGGAAAGAGATGAGTCTAACTGTTCCATCTCTTTCTCAGTAGTAAAATGCATGTAGCCTAATTGCTTTATATCTAATTATTAATTAGCCTTAATATAGCCTGATAAATAAACATTGGATCAGTAGTGATTCATTGAAAATCTATTAGAATATGAAAGTAACAAAAATATCATTATACTTAATTTATTTTCAGGAGAATTTATAATATTGTTGCTCCAGTCAATTCCAGTACCACATTATGACACTTAATTCATTGAGTTTGCTATAAGAACTAATAAACCCAAAGCAATGCCTTCCTTGTCAAATACCTTTATTTAAAATTGCAATTTAGTATCCATATTGATGGAAATCTATGGCTATTGAATAGCAGTTTATGAAATAAAGGTGTTTTACAAGGAAAGCATTGTTTTGGATTAATTAGTTCTTACAGGAAATCAGTTAATATCATTGTTGTATTTAATCTAAGAAAATTCCTTTGTGAATAGGCCTACATAAGAATTTACTAGAAAATACATTACTAATCTAGCTTTGCTATTACATTTATTTACATATTTAATGTCCATAGCTGTTTTTTTTAGTTTTTTCTAAAAATAAAAAGAAAAAATATTATTTTCATTCACACACAACTTTTAGAAAATCAATTGTTTACTGAAAATATCTCATCTGTAAAATAAATGTATTTTTCATATATAAAAATAAGTTTAAATTATGTTAAAATAAACTTACTTGCTCCATATTATATTCTGCTAATGTTGCTGAATATAATGGATACTGAGGAATAGGAGTCATAACACCTGGTAATTTATCACTTACAGAATAATTCAATAAGCTGAGGACAGACTATTAAAAAAAATAAATCTATTTAACTTTATCAAAATTTCTCATTTTACTTTAAAATCATTTATTATATAAATTGAATATATTAAATGAATGTAAGTCCTACTTTTATGGCTTCACTAGCACCAGTAGATAAAATAATGTTGTTATAGTCTGATGGAATGCCATCACGTCGTTCAATATACTGAGCAACGTGTTTTTTTATAATTTCAACACCTGCACTGTCACTATAAGAACCTGAAATTTATTTATATATATTAATACATTATATTATTATATATCAGAATGAAAATTTCCAGAATCAATGAAGCTTTTGATGATAGTGAAGTAGGAAAGAAAGAAAAAAAAGAAGACAAATTCTGAATAAGTTATGTAAGATTTAAATCTGTAATACATAACAAATTAATCTTCTAAAAACGCTCAATTATTTTCAATCTAATAATTTAAATAACATTTTAAAATTACTTAATATGTTTTGAAAAAATTTTAATAACTGATAAAATTTTAAAAATTTTTTGACTCTTTTGCCCAGTGATCACTAATTGGGTCTTTTTTTCCTATGCTTGTTATTGGTTCAGTTAGAGTAGAATTGGGTTAATTGGATGCTGAGGGATGACATCTAAAGTATCCAGGACAGATCACCTATGAAAAATTCCTGACGTTTTTCAACCCTGGGTCCCCAGAGCTTTATGCATTAACTGCATTGACCATCTGACCATCAATCAAAAATTTTATACTTAAATGTTTACATGAAAAATAAGTAAAAAAATATATAGAAATAATTTAAATAGCAGGAATGTGGACTAACGGACTGAATCTTGCAGATTAATTCAGAACTTATCTTAAAGCTATGGTTTCAAAAGTCTATTATATGGCACTGCCTTTCATTTTAAGAATTATTTTAATGTAAAACTTAAGAAAAACATTTCTTAAACTTATTGGTCCTCTTTATGTTCTGATAGCAACATTAACAATTTTTTAAAATGTTGCCAAAATATTAATAAAATGATCTTTTTATAAAATGTAAAATCTGATAAGCTTTGACCTACGATTTCTTAGATAATTTTCTAAAAATATTATATTTACTTAATTAGTCTCCTATTGGTTACTTTATTAAATTAAATAGCAGAAAATTGTGATTATTATAATTTATAAAATTATCTAAAATATCAGAAATCTAAGATTATTAAAGTTTACATTAAAGTAATTTGTTAATTTATTAAATTAAATAACATTAAAAGACAAATTAAACCTTATCAAATATCACTTAACTTCATGCAGTTTTCAATCATTTAATATTTAAATTACATTATGACAGAAATTTAAAAAACTTTAGTAAAAATACAGTCGAGTTGCCTTAAAACAAACACTGATAAAGTAAAAAAATTTAGAAAATTCTTAAATAGACAATACAAAATATGTCTTTTCACTTGTCCCTTCACATGCACATGATGAAAACAACAGTTCCACAGCAGAGTCAACCTTTTATTTGAGGCTACTCATCCACCTCAATATATAAAAGTTACAAAATCCCTTTGGCGACAGCACAATATTAAAAAATAAATACATTTGATAAATTTGATAATAAGACATATTTTGTGTTGTCTATTTTAAGAATTTTCTTAACTTTCTGTTCTGGCAAATTTTTATCAACTGATAAAGTGAATTTTGCTGTTGCCCTGGCAAAATGCCATTGTCACAACATTAATTTTCATGTGATAAAGCAAACAAAAATTTTACTAGAATTCATTAAACCAAACTGTAAATTACCTTCACAACCCCAAGAAATAACCCTATTTCCAATAACTGTCGCTTTTTACAATTTTCAATGTAAACAATAAAAAGTGGTGCTGTAATAAATATTCCATTTTTGAGCAGAATAGATTTTATTCTCCTAGTAAGCAGAGACATGTTCAACCTCTAATTGTAGAGCATTTCAAACATCTGATTTTAGCAGACCATCCTACCTGTACTCAGAAAACAGGGCTTGAGGATGCCAACCCCTTTAAATGGATACTGTCTTATGCAAATGTGTTAGTTTTGCATAACAGGAAGGGCATAAAGTGATGCCAAAAGAGTAAATTTTTTTTACTTTTTCTACCAAAAAATATTTTCTATTTTTTCAAACAGAAAAAGTAGAAAATATTTTTTGGTACAACAATCTTCAACAGAAAAAAAATCATGAAATTCTTTTAGCTTTGTTTTCTTTAAGTGTGGAGTAGTATATCAGAGTAGTTAAACAGTAAATACTATCTTTTCCTTGTTTTGTTTGATTTGAAAATCATTTAGAAAATTAATTCAAAATATTATAATTTAGATATTTTCATTGCTTATTAAGCCATTAACTTTGTAAATTTTGCAATCTTGACCTTAACCCTAAAAATTGTTAATAAAGCAAACTAACTACTGTTCCCCATAGTGATTTGTATTAAAGTGAGTTAACTGTATCATTCTTATTCTATAATAAATGAGCAATTATTTATTGTGACATCATCACAATGCCAGGCTGCAATTTTTCATTGCAATATTTTCAATTTTAGTAAATATTAAATTTGGTTTTTTGTTTAACCTGTTGAATCCTGTCTATTTTTCAGAGAATGGACACCTATTGACTTATCCACACCTCCCTCCCACTCAATTATTTAACGAGCCCTCCTACTCAAAAAAGTGTTACGTACTGCAAAACTCCAAAACCATCCTTGACAACAAGAGAGGATTTTACGAACCTGTGCCAATTAAGTAGTCATCAGGGATTGCCCCTGAGCTCCTGGCTGCTCACACATAAAACAGCAATCAAATAACACTGGACTAATTATTATTAATTAATTAATAATAATTATATTTAATGAATCTTTGCTATAGATTTTTTAATTGTTTTAACATGGTTTTTATTGTCAGAATTTACATTCTCTAATATGAAATAACCCCAAAGATCTTATCACTAGACCAAAACACTAATAAAAATTTTAGAAATTATTTTATTAATTAACATGACTCTTTGAATGCTCATTATCATTTTGATTTTGTAGTCTTATTTACTTATCCATCTTAATGTTATCAGTTAGTTAGTTATTATTAGTATAAACTAGTCCCAAAACAATTACAATGTATACTGTATATTACACAGCACAGTATAATCTATACAGGACACCAAGTTACTGCTAAAAATGTTCAGCAAATTATTCTGGTTAGAATTCTACTGTATCCTTAATCAGTATCCTTTATTATCTATTGATAAATGTATCTGAATCAAAATAAAAATTTACAATCAAATACAGTCGACCCCCCTATAACACTGTTGATTATTCCATTTTATATGAATTCCATGTTGTACGAGTTACTTAGATTTTACAAATAAGTGTGCCGGCTGTGAACGGCTCACGTATTTGTAAAATCTAAGTGACTCGTACAACATGGAATTCATATAAAACGGAATAATCAACAGTGTTATAGGGGGGTCGACTGTATTAATAACTTACAAGGCATAACTCTATGATACTACTGCTACATATGATACATGATAGTAAAACATTGTAGTATACCTTGCTTAACATTATACGAGGGCTATTTTTTAAATAAGGTCCGTTTTTTAATAAGAAGAAAAATACTGCAAATATCATTAAAATATATTTTTTCCCATATTCTACATACTTTTATCTACTTTTCTACATAATTTCCATTTTTGTTCAAACATTTGTTATACCGCTCAAAAATTTTTTAAATTCTGACTTCAAAGAAATCTGCTGCCTGCCACCAGAAGACATTAGGCTATGCCGCTTGTCTTGTATGGCACGGCGAAGTTTTCTAAGATCACACAATAAGCATCAGAATTGATTGTTGTGCCTCTTGGCATAAAATCCACTAACAAAATTCCTTTCCTGTCCCAAAATACAGTTACCATGATCTTTCGTGCTATCGCACGAAAGATCATGGTAACTGTATGCCATTTGCAGCCGTATCGAATAACAGATCGTATTTTACAGTCGGCGGGTGACTCAATTTTCTTAAACATTATAAACTTCTACAGTTCAGCACACAGACAGACGATACGGCTGCAAATGGCATCTAAACACGCACAAAGCATGCTGAAAGCAGATGCTCATGCACACTTCCGCAATCGCGCGTTATTCTCACTCTCATTCACAAACAGACCTTATTTAAAACATAGCCCTCATAGTATAGTTAGTATCAGCTGTTGAAATAACGTGTGCTCTAGTGTTTGTTTATACTAAATTACTATTGTTTTAACCTCTATGTTTAATAAGTTTAATGAGATCACCGAACATAACTTATAGTGGAAATATTTGTGGCAGCCTACCGGAATTATGGTGAGTAGTACACAGCAATTGTAGAAGCACTACCACAAAGTATTAAAAGCTTAAAAATCAATTTATATGTGACACTATACTTTAAATAGAAAAAAAAACAAACTAAAAAAAAACTTACCAACACTACCTCCACCACAACCTGATAAAATAGTTTTAGCTCTTTCTTTTACATCAGAAGGAAAATCATCAGAATTTAATAATTCTGGGTATGTACACAATGTAATAACCTATAACAATTTAAATGAGAAATAAGTGAAAATTATTCATAATATTAATAGTAAATTTTACTTTATTGAAAAAAGTAAATAAAAGATTTACACTATTATCTAAATCTATATTTATTACATACATAAGTAAAACTATTTAAATATGAAAATTTGTCCCTTTCATCAAAACAGCACAATGATGAGGATGTATCTTTGAAGTAATTGTGAATATGTAAGCATTATTTAAAATGAAAGAATTTAAGGAATTATGAAACTAATGTATGAATTTTTGTAAATATTGAAATCCAATCACTGATTTCATAAATAGTGTTGCTTACCTACATGCTATCAGCATAATCTTATAAAAGAAAATACTTATATTACTTTATGAATAACTTTATCAAAGAGTGTAAGCATTTTTTGATGATATATGTAAAATTCATAAAAGTTGTTTAAGTCAATATACTAATTTAATATTTGATTAAATAAAGCTTGTCAAAATATTTTTAATATTAACAAAAATAGTATCAGTGTTCTACCAGACTTTTTTGGTCTGGCATGCTATCTGGTTGATTTTACTGATCACTAGCATAAAAAAAAAGACCTATAAAACTGAATTTAAAATAAATATATAAATTTAAGAAAAATTCTTAAAAAAACAATACATAAAAGTGACTTCTGTCCTTTTGCAGGCACATGAGGAAATTAACAGTTCCATATTGAATTAAAAATATTTTGTCTTGTTGTAAGCAGCAACGAGAAGTTGAAAGCCAATAGAAAACAAGGACAGTTATGATCTTATAAATCAATATGGCAAATATAACAAAATGAATTGTTGATTACTTACAAGAAAACTTAAACATACTACTTATTAGAAAGCTTTTTGATATCCATTAATATTTAACTTTGGAAAAGATGCACAAACAATTGGAATCTTAAATTATCATACAGAAAAAATGATGATGTATGCCACTGAAGTAATTTTTTTACAATATATTTTATATTTATCTTAGCAAAGTATATTTTTTCTTTCGAGTAAAAGTACTCATTAGCATTTTTTATTAACTTACTGTCAGGCAAATAACAATGTTGAAATATTATTTTAAAAAATCTAGCAAAGAGTTGTATAACTTTCCTGACTGTTATGAGATTTTANATATGGATTATTCCCAAAAAATTATATGTATTTTGGAAATATTGAGTCGAATTAGTCTAGAATCGATTAATTTTATTGAAGAAACCTTTCAAACAGCCGTAGGCTGTAAACTGCATATGTGCCGGGCTGTGATTGGCTGGACTCGTAGAAAATGGATTCATAAAAACTGGAACGTATCTACCGTGTTATAGGGGGAGGGTCGACTGTATTTTGACATCTTTTTTCACATTTACTATAAACAAATTGCTGTGAAAGTCTAAATTTAGAATGGCAATAACAATAACATGCAATCTACAAGGAATACCACATAATTAAGGTTAAAACTAGTAACTTTATAAAAGTGCATGAAATTTTTTGGTTACCCAATAAAAATAAAATACTGTATTAATTTATATATCTTACAGTAAGATGTATTATATAATATTGCAAACTTCAAATTAAATAAACTACAATTATCTTTTATCATCAATATGGCAAAATACAAAAGAAAGTATTTTTTCTTACCTGTTGGGTTTCCTGGATTAATTACTACTATTGCTCGTGGTTCACAAGTTTCTTTTGCTTTAGAAATTGCATTTTTCAATTCATCAATACTCAATGCCCATTCATTATCTTCATCCAAATAATAACCAATCTATAATATAAGTACTGAAATTTAAATCTTGAAAACTTAAAATATTTATTATTCTGAAAAACGACTTCTTTATTTATTTTAAATATTTAAGTATATATTTTTGAAAAGTAAATCAAAAGTGAAAATTTAACAACANATAAAACATTTGTCACTTAATGCAGCAAATTTGTGTTTCACTTTAATTTTTTCGTGTCCGTATAAATTTGAAACACACCTTACTTTCCCTCATTATGTATACATAACAGTTGGAAAAGTAAAAGGAAATATATTAAAACACCTTCTTACAGGATTACTACAATGTATACTTCACACTCGAGAACCTTAAGAGTCCAGTAATAACATAGTGTTATTACTGGACTTTTAAGGTTCTCGAGCGTGAAGTATTAAAAATTTTCTGTTTTTAATTATTATAAAATGACAGAAATGCTTAATTTTGAGGGTGGAAATAAGTAGTTTAAAAAAAAAAAAAACTTTAAATGCCTTGTTAGCAAAATCTCATAACAGATGGCACCACAGAATTTTATGACACATGACTACCTTCTATCTGTCCACTCCTTCACACCTTTCACCTTCAAAATTTAATAGCATCAATGCCCTCCTAAACACAAGTTACCATTCCAAATTTTGTTTCTTAATCTTTACCCCATCTCAAGATGTTAAATGAAATAGATGCCAACACACACAAACACATTCATGAAATGTTTTTGCTTTTTTTTGTTCAGAAAGTCTCAAAATGTGGAGATTTGTAAAAATCTCAGAAGATCAAATTTGACACAATTCCAATACAGTGGGTGATCAGTTAATGAACAGATCGGTTAACGAACAAATCGGATAACAAACACTTTCGCAAAAGATTTTTATGATCGGACAACGAACACATGTTTGGATAACGAACACTTCACTGAACAAACACAAGAAGAAGTGATGTAAAATAATGAATACCGATTGGTCTTCCTTTGTCTTCAGGCAACAATTCGAAACTTTTTGGAGCACGGGAGACATCGGCATCCACGTTCTACCCAGTATATACTGATCGGATAGTATTCCCTCGAACTTTGAAACTTTCCCTTGTAATTCCAGCCTTTTGTATTTCTNGCGTATTCTGAAACTGTGTCTTCTTTTTTCTGTTTTTACTGTCACAACTAGGTGCATAGACAGACACTGGGCATTTCTGACATCAATCTTTATTCGGGAATATCTTGCTGGCCGAGACGCGTTTCGGGCATAAGCCTCTCTTCTGTCGGCTACATAATAAAACACGAATATGAATTTCTCATAGTATATATTTTTAACTGTAAATAAGTAATTTTAAGCAAGATGTATACCAATTAACACTCCTTACAAGATATCACAAAAGAAATGGTACATTGTAACCGATTATAATATAAAACAATATGTACTATGTTCAAGTTTTATTATGTAGCTGACAGAAGAGGGGCTTATGCCCAAAACGCGTCTTGGCCAACAAGATATTCCTGAATAAAGATTGATGTCAGAAATGCCCAGTGTTTGTCTATGCACCTAGTTGTGACAGTAAAAACAAAAATTTATTTAGTTAAAATCAAACTGAATTAAAAATTAATTTTCATATGAAAAAATCATATTACCATAGAATCAAATATTTAAAATGGCAAATTACAATCGCAATGTTATTCTAGAAACTGCCAAACAAGTAATTGTAGAAAATAAAAAAAATAGTTTCTAGTATACATCATAAATGAACAAGTTGGTTAGAGCATTTCATAAATGTAAATAAATTTATGAAGTTAACTAAAATTACTCCAAATGTCGGCTTATACACAATTATGAAATTGTATGCAAACATAAATAGTATATACTAAATTATAATTTATCATACACACAAATGATTTTATTCAAAACTACAAAAAGAAAAAATAATGAGTAACGTAAATATAATAAAAATTATTTATTATATTAGAATTACTTATGCAGAACAGCCCCTTTTGCCCCCGACTTCTCACAATAAGATCACTTAGCGTTAGTACATAATTCATTTTTCATCACACATCATTACTCTGTCCAAAAGCAGTTTGNATTACATTATAGTTACATTTAAAATGATCACTGCAGTTATAGAGAAAATCTTCATCAGAATGACACATAGAATATAAATTATTCAAATTCAAGCAAAAGCAAACAAGAGAAAAAAACAATTATTGTTTTAACATTTCCATTAAGAAATTATTTTTATACCAATTATATATATGAAAATGTTACATTAACTGATGATATTTTTGAGAGAATTTAAAAGAAACTCATAATGACTAAGTTTTCTTGAAAAAATTATTTTATCAACAACGGTAATTCGACAAATGCACAGAGACAATATAGAATTATAAAAAAACAAAAAAATTTTCAAACTGGAATAAGCAGTCATTTGATATTGATTTTTATTAAAAAGTTATATAAATCAAAACATGCTATAAATAATAATGTTATAATTCTATTATTTTGAATTTTATTAGCTGGCATTCAAAGATCTTAATAAATATATGCAATAAATAAACTGTTCTATTATTAAAACTTTTTTATTATCAAGAGTTATTTTTCTTTTATAATCACAAAACTTACACATTATGGATATGTGTGTATATATATTTAAAAAATTAGAAAAATTGGCTGATTTAAAAATGAATAAGAGTGTTTTTAACAAATATGCTAAAGTTGTTAAAACTCATATTAAAAAATTATTTTTTATATTATGTGAAATGAAAATTTTTTTTAATATATTATACTATCTACTTATTGAATAATATAATATTGATTGTTAATGGATACTTAATTAGAAATGGAAAAAAGTAAATAATTTAAATTTACAATTGGATAAGAATAGTAATTTTAATAAATTAAAAACTTTAAGATTTCTTTTCTATTCTATAATAAATCTGTTTTATAAATCTTGACAATTTATAAAACAAACTTGTGTACAAAATGAACAAAACTAATTTAGAAATTTTATAATAATCTAAATCCAAATAATAAAATACTTACTTGACGAATAAATGTTATCGGCTTTTGCCCCATTGCTTGACAGTCACCAATATTTGCTTTAATAACATTTTGGAAAGGCTTTTTTTCACCCTAAAACAATTAAAATATAAACTTATTATTATTGACAAATAAAATGAATTTTAACAAAATATTTATCATTTAATTTCTTAATATATCAAACATCATGAAGCCCAATATGTATATAGAAACATAACCAAACGATTGCCTTAAATATTTGCGCTATGTTAATCATTAAATTAGTGGAGTTATGGTCTGATTATTTAAGGCAATCATTTGCTTATGTTTCTATTTAATTTCTTAAACTTTTGTAGTACAAATTTTTTTTTCAACTACAACAAATATTAAAAATTAAATATAATACTAAAATTCACACCTTCCTCTCACTTTCCAGCATTTACCAATTAAACAGGAACATTTTTGGCTATGTTCAGTGGCCTGTGTCAGGTTAAGCAGTTTCTATATCGAACATCTTATGTATCTTAAGAGATGTTTGATATAGAATCTGATTAACTTGATACAGGCCACTGAAGGTAGCCGAAAACATTAGGTTTTAATCATGTGAATAATGGAAAATGAGAGGAGGGTGTAAATTTTAGTATATAGACGATAGTTCCAGCTTTAGAATTAACAAGATCAAATATATTCTAGTGAAAAGAATATTTAATGTAGTATTTTCTTGAAATGCCGAAATGTACAAAATCTATTTATGAAGTATATTACAAGTTTATAAAATGAATATAATGCTAATGCTAATTAAAAATCTTTTCTATGTTTTATACTTGAGGCCATCAATTAATTAATTACATGTACAATTTAAGGGTGAGTTACCAAAAGTATTACCATTGTACACGATGGGGAAGAAGTGAATTGAGGCATTGTCTATATGGTCTTTTTTAATGGTATTAGCACCATACAAATTTCTTCTTATAAACCTACTTACTAGTTATGTGAATAACTATCAGTTTAAAAAGTTCTGTAAATATTTCCAAAGTTCATTTCTTGAATGTAGGAGTTCGCAAACTATTGTATACATAATTAAAGGGGAGAGGAAGTTTGTCAAGAGTACATCATTGTACACAAAAGGGAGGGAGGGGTGTAAAAAATGGCTCAAATACTACACGTAATTAATGGATGGCCCCTTTACATATTTTCTTTTATGTACTTAGACAAATTAGGAATTTTCATTTTTATTCATAAAATTGTCTACAGAAATAAATACAGCTGTCCCTTGATAATCCGACAGGTATGGGACCAAAGGGGTGTCAGATTACCAAAAGTGTCTGGATTACCGAAAGTGATTACATATTTGGCATTGTTTTGCTAGCAGTAGCCTACAATATTCCCTATTCCAACTGTTCGAACAGAACTGTTCATGGAAAACACATGAAATGTGTGTCATTGTGTAAGAATTGGGTGTGGAGATTCACGTCGTGACATGCTTCTATGCAAGCAGACACATGACAGGGACAGGTACCTTGACAGGAGGTGTGTCGGACTACTGAGCATATCGGATTACAAAACGTCGGACTATCAAGGGACAGCTGTATTTAGATAAGAAAAGAATTTATATGTGAACCAAAAGTAACTGAAATTTAGATAAATGTTAACATTTAACTTAAAGCCACATAACATTTAGCCAACAATATTAGTATCATAATATATTAAATATTACGGATGTGGGAGCATTTCTTACATCTCTCATTTATCCTGTAAAAGTTCGTCCGATGGAGAATTATTTCTAATAAAATTGTAGACAAAACTGTCCAGAAAGGTCAGTCACCGAAAATGTGTTAGTCTTGGAACATAAAAAATAATAAATGGTGATCCTTTTTGGACAGTTTTGTCTACAATTTTATCTCTCATTTAATACATTTAAACTCTTCCATAAACATTGTATATATCATATTTTATAGTTCATTTTTTCTTGATTGTTGTATTTTAGCTTGAACATATTAAATATTGTTTCTATGGGAACAGTCCTATATATTATATATATCTTAACTGTAAAATTAAGAAATTAAGATAAATAAATATCTGTAATAAAGATATATTATTGAACATAAGATATGTCTTAAATTGGTAAAAATATCTAGAAGATAGATAATAGATACACACATAGCTAGGAAATATATTATAAATAAAGTCTTGGGCATTTTAATCTTCCGTTTGTATTTGTTACCTCCTATAGATGAAAGTGTATGAGGACACTTTGGTTAAGGGGACAGAGGAGGTTGACTTGCCTGAACGGAACAAAAAAACACACGTATCAATTTTTAAACAAAAAAACACACGTATCAATTTTTAATTTGTCATCAATGATAATTTTGTAATCTTTTTACTTTCTCCATCTGATATTTTTGTTTTCGTTTTGCCCAAATTTGAAAGGGTAGTTGTCCCAATTCTCCAACTCATTAAAAATTAATATATACAATGTTGAATTGAATAAATTCACATATTATTGTTCATAAATTAATTTAAAAAATTATATAGTATTAATATTTGATATTTATAAATTTAAAATAATCGACAATTATAAATGTAAAAATCCAAAATTTGTATTATTGGATTATACTGTTACTATCATCTATCTAAAGATCAAGGTTATGAAGATAACTCAATATTATAATATTAAATTATTATACATTTAATATTCATTTAAATGTAAAAAATAATAAAATAAACCTGTTTAGATAAATTTGAATCTATCAGTCAAATAAATATTAAAAAATTTATTAATATTAATAATAAAATAATTTTATTTATTATATTTTTGAATATTCTATAACTGATGATATATTCTTAGAGATATATTAATTATTGTAAAGCAAAAACTACATATTTAGCATACCTACAATTTTATTTATTTCACTAATTTATATACAACTTATTCAAGAGTTAAGTATAAAAAGTAATAATAATTTTGGCATAAAACTATTAAAGAAAATTTTAAAAGAAACATACTGTATATGTTACAGTCAAAACCCGTTTTTAGTTAGAATGCGTTTTAACTAGTTGAAACTAGTTTATACTGAATGTCTTTGTTAAAACCCGTTTTGTCTAGTTAAAACTAGTTCTAACTCAAATTCATTTTTGACTAGCAGTAAATTCTAGTTTTTACTGGACAAAACGGGTTTTGTCTAGTTAATTTACTGCTGTATATGTTTTGATTTTAGATAAAACTAGTTTTAACTTTTAACATTAGTTAAAACTAATTTTAGCTACATAAATATGTTTGGGGGAAATAAAGTTATGNAACTACATATTTAGCCTACCTACAATTTTATTTATTTCACTAATTTATATACAACTTATTCAAGAGTTAAGTATAAAAGTAATAATCATTTTGGCATAAAACTATTAAAGAAAATTTTAAAAGAAACATACTGTATATATCAATAATGTTAATAACCGAATTAATATATTTTACAAATAAAAAATAAGCATATTTTACAAAACATATCAAATTTCTTATATAAATTGAAATTGGGATAGATCAAGAAGGATTATACGATTTTTAACATGCTTAATTAATTAATTCATCTAAATCCATTAATTAATCCATTTAAATCCATCTAATGTCTTCAAAATTATCAGATGTTTTAATTTATCAATAGTTTTAATTAAATGTCTGTTGCTAATTGCAACAAATATTTAATTAATACAACATAATTGCTAACAGATAATAGACAATTAAATTACTGTACAATGAAAATACAGAGTGAGTCAAAATTATGTAAACAATCTTAATTTTTAATTAAACATTATTAATGATACATCTTAATTAATTTTGTTGAGAGACCTCAAAGACCTCAAGGACAGAATAAAAGGTGTGATATAAGGATGTTTTGGCACTAAATTGTACTGTTGAACGTTGGTTTGAGTGCATTAATCGTGCTTATGGTCAGGTTGAGACTCTGTATAATGCAAACTTTGAGTAAATGCTTTCTCTCAAACAGTGTTCACATAATTTTGACTCACCCAAGATTGTTCACATACTTTTGACTCACCTAAGATTGTTTACATAATTTTGACTCATCCTGTATATTATTTCATACAAATAGCATGAGGATGACATATAAAGTAAGATTAATTTTCATTAAAAAGTTTTTATAAGCTATTTTTCCTAAGACAAGATGTCTGACAATCTTAATTATATCATTTTAAAATTAAAGTGATTAACCAGAAATTGATTTCTAAACAAACTTATTAAAATATATTAATGGCATACAATGCAATTATATGCAGGAAAATAAATACAATTTTATGTGCAATTTCAGTTGTATGAAATAATAGTTAGACATTTTTTCAATTTTTATTGGTTATATTGCAGTAGTTCTTAATATTTTTGAGCTAGTGACAATCACAATTTTTGGTGTTCTTGTATATGTAAATAAAAAGTGCTATTGAAGATACTTATACTTAAAAATATATATAAATTATATTAAAAAGTAGAGAAACAATTAGCATTTTTAAATTATTTTTTGAAATTTTGAAGTACAGTATGAATATTTAATAATTTCCCTGTATATCCAATGAGAAGTTGGCTGCGTACTCAGTGTTATCCAGTTGAGGATTAGCAGGATGTTCAGTACTGATCAGGGGAGTTGAGATGAAAATACAAAAGAAATTTAGAGATTTTTCTTAGGAAAAAAACTCAAAATTTTGAGATTTTTAATCTCCAAAGAAGGAAATGCAATTCTGCAGAAGTTGATTTTTGCTAAATTAATAATGGTAATATGATATGAGACAACATTACACAATGTGGAACGAATGCAATTACATTACTAAAATTTAAAAAACTTCTTGTGGACATGCACCTTTATTCTTTCCAACAAGGAAAACAATTGACAATGATGCTGTTAGTTGAAATGTTGAAAGAGCAGTTTACAGGATCATTTTTAACAGTCCATTAACCAATTCTAACCATTAACAAAGGCACTTGTAAAATGTCTGCCTTTATTAATACATTTTAAATTACATAATTTTCTAAATAAAAGCTTGATAACATTTCACACATTTTTCTTTATTGGCTTCTGAATCTGTAACGAGAGGGATTTTTTTAAGCGTAC